GTTTGCTTCCCCTTTTTGATTGCCTGGAACACTGGATGCACGCCAACCGACCATGTACCATGACCCGTAGCCACGACTTTCCACTTCAGTCCCTTCCCAGTATGTCAGGTAATCTGCACCATTGTACCGCTGTACTTTAAAGTCCTGCGTTGTATCCCAATTATACTTCATCCACACCAATTCCCCATCAGCATCGAGAATGACGGGCCCAGGGTGAGCAACCGAGTCACCGCGAGGAGCAAGGAATGTGTATCGCGAATCGCATCCCGACCCCCATTCTGTGATCTCTACCATGGGAGATTCATACTCGAAAGATACGTAGCTGCGTGAAGGACCGAAGCCGTAGAATCCCAGATCATATGGGCTTAGATCGAGGCGAAAGCGGAATCGAAGCAGTTGCGGAACAGCAAAGAGGTAGAACAGGTAGAGGAGACTGATGGAGACACCAGCGCTGGTGAGAATGAGGCACGAGAACTTGCTCCGCGATTTCGAGTAGGGAGATGGATCTCGGAGTCTGGAGAACTGTCGGCGAAAGCATACAGGAGTCCAAGTCCAAGCGGACATTGGGACACAGCGGACCAACGTTGGAAACGGAGTCTGGGAAAAGCTTGCGAGAGGGGAGGATGGAATGGAGATTCACATGGTAACATTTAATATGAGAGTTGAACTCATAGGACGAAGACCAAGAGCTTGGAGGTGCTCGAGCAGTTTTATCGTACTCGTAGCCCTCTCCTCATCAGGAGTCTGTCTCGTACTCGTACCCCTCTCCTCATCAGGAGTCTGTCAATCTTTCCGTCGGACGCTAGGTTTATTTAAAGAGTGTCACTGTCTGGGAAAGACACAGTGGGTTCTGTATCCGCAATTCATCATTGCGGAGTCCAAAGACAATAGAGCATCGAATCGTGAACGAATCAGTCTGGACGATGCGCAATACTCCACACTCGCCAAGAAAGCCGGCCACGAGTCTCTAAGCCATGATTCACCCACCGGCAAATTGAACGACTCCACTCGGGAGGAGAGCTAGGCTAATGGGCTGTGACGCGCCGGTTGATCGTCCATATCGTTTGATAGTCTGGGAACAAGAAATTGAGGTTGTCTATGGGCGTGGAGTAGCCCCTTGGTGATGTCGAGATGATCACAAGAAGATCATCGACATAGTATACGCATATACGTTAGTATTCACCAGAACAGGACGAGGAGTGAGGCAAGTCAGTCCGAGATGAGCCCCGAGACTGGGGCCAAGGCGTTTCGGCTAGCCGGCGTCGTCATCATCTCGGCAAACGTAAGCTCCACCACGTAAGAACTTGAGAAGACTGATTGCGGCTGGCAACACAACATGGCGCTTGCTGGAAACTAGTTTAAGGTACCAATTTTCAGGATATTCAACTCATGTACGGAGTAGTCATGTTGCGATCGCGATTCATATCTGGGACGATGATGCCTCAGGCGCCGACTCGGTGCCGGAAGTTGGCGACTGTCATTGGCCATTCATGATTTGTGACAGCAAATCAAGGAAGAATCACCATGAAATATTTACCAGTCATAAAGAGGGGGTGTATATGTGGCTTGGATGCTGCAAAGTCATTAGTGCAATGTCGTGCCGTGGATGCCTCAGAGACAAAGCATCCATTCAACGAAATAGATGCCCCTTTCGGCAAACTTCGCCGCTAATCTAGTTGTGGCTGTGTATATACGCGAAGGCTGGTTTTCGCATTCTGGCTCGGAGATACTGTGATAACTCCATTGCATATCAGATAATCATCAAAGCCTAACGGTCCCCTTAACAAGAGGGTTTGAGCAAAGTCGAGTCGTGTTGAGAAAGTCTGGGGAATACATATCCCTGCCATCTGATGAAAGACACCTTCGATTCTTCGCGCAAGATTCCAATTCTCCTGGTATATACGATTCAGTAATCAGAGAAAGGACACTCGAACAGAACGTGGAAATGGTTCCAGCGTGTCAGTGCCATGATTTTGACCTCCGTTCGGTAGAGTACTTTCAGGATTGCGATTTCTCCGCTGTTGACGATCAGGGAGTAAAAGGTGGCCTGAATTCCGGAGACGAACATTGGACAGATCGCTTGGTAGCATTAGGGATTCCCGAGTATGATGTCGTCTTCCTCTACGCCGTCTTACAACCCGACCCAACGAAGAGGATGACAGTGGATCAGATCCTAGAAACGGGGTACTTAGATGTCTACTGAGCTCATAGCGCACTCTTATTCAGTCGACTCGTCAAGAGGGGGAGCGGAAGCAACCCTCGGGACGCAGAATATGGAGGGAGGTTAGGGAGAATGAAGAGGTTGGAGAACCTTTCACTGTCTGCTGGAGTGTCGTTTCAGACACCACCAGCGACACGTGTGGCCGTTACAAGCTTGCAGGCGGCCGTGTCGATCGGAAATGTATCTGTGCCAGCATGTCAGCGAACTTGCATTCCCTTAATTTTGTTATGTCGCCGAGACGATGTTGGAGTAGGGATGGTAAATAGAAAAAAGCCCCGAAGTATCGGCTACTTTCGGTTGGTGTAACAGCAGATCATCCTTGCACAAAAAGCCCGCCGGCCAATTTTCTTGACAAGGATTGAAGAATTTTCCTGGAGACTGGGAGAATTTAGCTAGTAGACAAGGAAGCCGGTTTGTCAGATGAGGAGTTCATTAAGTCTTATCGAGTTGATTTGAATTGAATATCACGATGATCCTTAGTTCAGGAGAAGTGAGTAGGGTCCGACAGGTCCTGAAAGTGACACTGAGGATACATCTTAGACTCAGGATTTCCTACTTCTGCCTAACAAGATACTAGAAGATCACTTTCCAACTAATATACGCGCCGGGTGGATGTGTAAGGCTTGGAGATAAGTCTGTCAAGGTTTGGTACCAGCTAGAAAAACGAACTCGAGCATAGACTTGACGAAGTGTTAGCGAGTTGCAGCAGAAATTTGAACCGGAAATAGGTCTGAGGGAAATTCGGGCATTAGAAGGCCCAGGAAAGGGCCAAATTCACTGGCAGATTCAACATGCATCTATCAGGTGACGCTGTACAAGGCAGGTGGCCTGATTTAGCCCCATATTTCCTAATTAGGCACGCTGGATTTATCTAACTGAATAAGATGTAGTAGATAGATGCATGTAGGCATTCTTCCTGCTCGCCGTAAACTCTTAGGGACGTCGGATCCCTCCTCGCAGTCTCATGGCTCTACTTGGGTCATAGACTTGCATCGACTTCATCCACCACCATCACCTTGATACTTCCATTACGAGCATCCGCACACAAATGCAGAGCATCCTGCGCTCTCTCCAAGGGAAAGACATGCGATACTAACTTCTTCAGATCCAGAATCCCACCATTGATACACGCAATTGCCGATGGCCAAGTGTCCCGATATCGATTGATGAACCGCAAATCAATCTAGCCATCGTTAGCAACGATTTGATCCAGGCTCAGAGTGAATCTCACCTCCGCAAGAGACAGATGCATAAAGGGCAGATTATTCATAGTCGCCTTACCAACACCAATCACAACGACCACACCACCCCGGCGCGCAGTATACGCCGCTGTGCAAACACTACTCTCCACTCCTGTGCACTCTAGCACCGTCTCTGGCGCAACGTATTCGCTCTTGCCGAACAGTGTCCTGATAGCCCTTGCATTGCCCTGCGCATCCTTCGCAAGATCAACCTGATAGGTAACACAGCTCGGCATAAACTCTTTCGCGAAGGCAAGCCGCCTTGGCTCAACGTCCGTGATGACAATCGGATGGGCACCTGATGCGCGAGCTGCAGCAAGAGCAATGAGGCCGATGGGCCCGGCGCCGCAGACGACGACGCCCCGGCCGAGATTTAGGCGGGCCACTTGTATGCCGCGCATGGCAACGGAGAGGGGTTCGAGGAGGGCCCCTTCGGTGTAGGAGAGGCCGTCTGGGAGTCTACAAGTACGTTAAAATCAACTCAGAGAGAAGGAAAGGAGGACAATATACTTGTGCAGCCACTTTGCGGGATGGACTTTGTATCGTTGCAATGTCCCTGCGTACGGATAGACTCCCGCAAACCGTACCTCTTCGCAGAGGTTATACCGGCCGTCGTTGCAGAGGAAGCATTGTTCGCAGGGAACGCCGGGCTCGACGGCTACCTTGTCACCTTGGAAGTGTCAGGATGTAAGTCATATATTAGAATGTTGTGCTCTCACCTGGCTGGAGTTTGGTGACGCCTTCGCCGCATTTCAAGACTACGCCAGCCGCTTCATGGCCGATGATGCAATCGCCCTCGAATACTAGCTGACCGATTCGACCTGTTTTCCAGAAATGGATATCGGATCTAAATGGCAAAGATCAGGACATGTATTGTCCAGGCTGATGGACCGCTTACCCGCAAATTCCAGTAGCCTTTATTTGAAGAAGGACTTCCCCGCGTTGGGGAGCGTACACTGGCGCTTCGACAAACTTGAGTTGGTGGTCTGCTGTGACCTGCAACGATGGGTTGGGAAACGGAGTCTGGATGATCTGGGGGTCGTTAGACGCGGGTTTCATTGATGCGATTACTCCGTCTAAATTCGATTCTGTGAGGAGAGGCGGCGTCATCTTAAAACTAGATGTATAAGTGACTATTTAATGGAAACGAAGTGAAATAGAACGTGGAGGACTTCGTAACAGGGATGATTTATACGCACGCTGTAGACTCCAGGGAATCGACATGCGGGGTAATGGTCTAGAGCACGATGGGAGGAAGCTATACGCCTCAAGTCGATTTGGTCGTCCATTATTAACAATGCAAGATGCTAAAAATGAACAAGTCATTTTGACGATATTTGGGGCGAGTTTGGTCTCTTCTGACAAACAGCACATTTCCTCTTTCGGCAATGCGTGCCTCAAGTAGCCTATTTGGGTAATGAGCTACACCGTGCCTCGTCGAGAGACCAGCTTGATAATGACATAGATCTTGATGATACTGCATTATAAAGGCAATGCTCTGAAGCATAGGCCAGCTCTCCCCATCAGTTACACACATCATGGCGATCGCATCTGCACCAGTCACTGCCAACCGCGGCCGCCAGTCCTCCATGTTTCTCGTCCAACAACTATCCAAAGCCCATGATCTCGTCTTGCGCACATTCCGCATGCTCATCGCTGATCTATGCCAGCAGTTTGGAGGTGGCCATCCAGGGTAAGTCTCACAGGCACGTAGACGTGATATTGCGCGGCAGCCCATACTGATAAACCCAGAGGTGCGATTGGGATGGCTGCCATCGGAGTAGCCCTGGGGCGGTACGTGATGGGATATGCGCCTCACACTCCGGACTTCTTCAACCGCGACCGATGCATTCTGTCTAACGGACACGCCTGTCTTCTCCAGTATTGCTTCCTCCACCTGACCGGCTACAAAGCCATGACCTTTGACCAACTCAAATCCTACCATTCTGATCGGGTTGATGCGTTATATCCTGGCCATCCTGAGATCAGAAATGCTCTGGTTGGCGTTGATCCCACCCAAGCGAATACGGGCCCTCTTGGCACACTGTTTTAGGTAGAGCCGCTTGCTTCAAAACACCCAAATTCCCCCAGCTTAAGACCACAGATAAATATTCCTCATACTTTATCACACAGTGTTCCCTAATCTTCCCCCAGAACTCGTCTCGAATATCCTCAGTCATGTCGCTCCCAGCTGGCACTGGCGCCGCCGTGCCCGATGGAAAAATAACCATGAACGGATCACGGCCGAGAACGACGTCCGCTGGTTTCTGAGGATAAGGGGTGTTTGTCGTGCGTCGGTCTTTATATCCTTCTTACAAAAAGGCGTAGTAATGATCAATCCATGGATGTATGCTAACAAGACTGCAGGGATGTTTGATGAGTGCGTGATCGGTCATATTCTCGCTGCGATCCGTAATGGGAAGTTTGATGGGGACTGGGTCAATGAGGGAGTTTGTTGGGAGGTTGGTCAAGAGTTTGGTTCGTCGTTGTGAGAATGGGAACGGGGTTGGGAGTGCGTACTCCGTTGTTCGATCAATCGTGCAAGGTGTTGAGTTGAGCGTGGATTTCTTCTCGATGCAGGATTATTCGCCTAACTGCGGGGGTGGTTGAGGTACAGTAGGTGCGGGAGAATTACGGGAGATTCACATAGAGGCGATGGTCTCCATCGTTGTTGGGACTCTCGGCCCAGATTTGATGATTACGATTCTACAAAACAGCCACGGGAATGGGAACGATCCAGAAGCCCACCTCGATTATGAGAACCAAGAGTGGCGCGTTGCCGCACTTATGACAGCCGCGTACTTGGGCCGGATTAAAGATATCAAGAAAATTCTGGCGCTCGGGGTAGCCGTGAATCCAGACCCTGGGGATGGGTGGCTCCATCCACCTGTCATGGCGGCGTTGGCTGGACGGGTGGACGTGCTTGAATTCCTGTCGCGCAGGGCGCGGATCTGCACAACCTGACTGTTGCCAACGGGGATAATGTGGTGCATTTTGCGGCTTTGGGCGGGCATGCGGGGGTTGTTGTGTTGGTTGGTTGTTAGAGAAGGGGGTGGATGGGGACATTGTGAATAATAACGGGGACACGCCCCTTCTACGAGCAGCGGGGGCGGGATATGCAGATGGATGTGGTGGATGAGTTATTATCTTGTGAACGAGTGGATGTGAATATTGCAGATGGAGATGGGGATGTCGACCCGATAATACTGTTGGTTGTGGCTGCTGCGACGGGGCACGAGAATATCTTCAGGTCTCTACTTGCGCATCCTAGAGTTCACATCTGGGTGCCTACACTCTTCCGACGGGTGATCACTGGTGGTAACGTCGATATCCTCAAAGCGATGATTGCCTTGACGATGGGGGCGGATCTGCAAAAGTATCTTATGAATGGTAATGCGCTCCTCCTCGCCGCCGAGCTCGGAACCGAAGAAGTCCTCCGATACCTACTCTCCTTCGACGAAGCCAACGTAAACTTACCGTGACGACGCTGGAGCGACATCGGGCATGACACTCCTCAACGCCGCCATCCTCTCCAACAGTGTCGGCCACGTCAACGCCATTCGTGAACATCCAAACCTAAACATGAGCCTCATCACTTGCACCAGATAGAGCCCGACTATCGCCGCTCCACGTTGCAGCACAGCAGGACCCGCTGGATGCAGGTATTGTAGCTGCGCTGCTCGTGCACCCTGATATCGATGTGAATGCGCGAGACCTGTACCAACGGACGCCGCTTGCCTACGCTGCTGTCGCCGGCCAGACGCAGATGGTTAACATCCTTGTTGCGCAGCAGGGTGTAGATGTGTCCCCCGTCGACCGTTGGGGAATGACGCCACTGCATTACGCCGCTGAGAATGGACATCTGAATGTCGTGAGAATGCTTTTCGATGCCCCCGGGACTAACGTATGGCACACGAGCATATACGATAAGACCCCGCTGGCTCTTGCGGCTGGAAGAGCATACCTTGATATCGTGAAGTTATTGCTGGATTCGAGGCAGGAGGCCCCGGGGATGCAGCGTGGAAGGCTATGAGCTCGGCGAGTAGTGCAAAGGCGAAGTTTCAACACGGGTTGGAGACTTTGCGGAGTCGTGGTGAGGGGATTTCAGTCAAGGATAGGTTACTGAGGAATGCATATGGCCGGCGGTTGGAAGAAGCTTGTGCGATATTAGAATTATTCTGTGCTCATTTGGAGCGTTGCGTGTTGGATTCCGTGTACAATACAGGTTATTGCTGTATAATTAGTATACTAATTAAGGCTCATTGACCGGGCCTTGCGTGTACATAGTTCATCATGGCTGAGGCATCATTGCTGCCTATGAGCTAAGAAAATCTCATGGGAATATTAGCGTAACGTATTTCACTGCAAGCTACTATCTGATGGAGACAAACCAAGAAAGTATTTTGTTGCTCCGTGGGGTGGAGAGCAAAGGAAGATAATGGATGTAATGTACAGTAGTTCCACGCAATATATTGTGAGGAATTCGAACTGGATGACTGGCGGTACCTTTAATCCGCCATATTTAGCCGCACATAGCCAGAGATTGGATGACACCGCGGCCTACGTCGGCTGTAGAGGGGATATGCTTGTCCGCATTGTGGCATCAGGAGGCGTAAATTCATACCTGATGTATAGGGATTTTGGTTTGATCAAAGACTCTCAGCAAATCTCTCAACTATGGAAATCAAAACTAATGTTTGGCTACCTTTGGACCAATGATAAGGTGGAGCAAACGAACCTGAAGGTTTCATCCTGGGGAAAAAGGGATGAGGGCAGAAGACATGAAGGTCTAACTACACATCTACCTGTAAAGCAGCAGGCTTTCAAGGGTGCATATAACTTCTGGCTGTGTTGGTAATACTGGCTTAAGTACGGCTGACCGGACAGGAAGCCCTGTTTTCCACACCCTGTGGTTATATGTGTTTGATTTATCACCATTGCCTTCTTCCAAACTGATTAGCCCCACTGAAACTAAGATAATAAGACATACTAAATGCCGCAATGTCTCCATGACTGACAAAAGATAAACTCTAATGCACTCGAGTGAGAAAGAAGTTAAGCCCTTGGTGATCTGCTGGCATCCATTCAGTGTCCTCAGATTCCATCCCCCATTCCTTCAAGTCCACCACCGTTGCTTCGACCTTCCACTTAGTGTTAGTCTCTTGGGAAATTTCTCGCCACATTTGCAGAAAACTTTCGAGGTTATGGAAAAACATCATTCCCCATGGACGAATATACTCCCGAGCTCGGCGCCGTGACTGCTGATATCCAATCAAGACTGTCCCAAGCTTGGACAAGGCCACAATGCGCCTGCCTGCCTGTTTCTGCCCCTCCCAAGAGAAGAGATGAAGGAACTGCCCAGAAATCATGATATCTACCTTGCCGTACAGCTCCTGTAGACCGAGACAGTCATCTTCGTGTAGAAAATCACCCGGAATAAACGTTGCTGACAATTGATCGCGATCTTGATAGAGCTCGTACCCCAAATGCCACAACTGCGGACTCAGATCCTGCGCCCACATTCTATGGGAAGGAGCCCCAGAAGCTGCCAGCAGTCGAAGGTTCTGGCCGAGGCCACACCCAAGATCCAGCACGGTAGCTCCCCGACGCGCGGACTCAACCACTTGCTGAAATTGAGGGAACGTGGCGATTCCCGGCATGAGAAACATCCACTGGCCAATACAGGGATATTCACCGTATTTCCATGCTTTGTTGCGCTGAGGTGAGGTTTCAGATTCAGTTTATTGCCGCCTCACCGATGAGAACAACTCACCACTCCATGGAGATGACGCTGCAGCTCATTCTTGGGAATGTTGCTCCATTCTTCAAAGATCTGTTGCATGGACGGGCTGAGCCGGGATCCAATGTCATCTTTGTACCAAACAGATGTGTCGATGGACATCTTTAGCTGCTTGGCCGTATTGTGCCTTGAGGAAATGATGGATTCTACAGCGATTGACCTCGCATGAGGAGTTTAAATGGACATCGGTGTGGTGAAAGAGATACTGTGTTCAACAGGAGAAAACTGGTAGAGACAGACCTGTTCCATCATAGTTCGATTTATCACATCACTATTTATTGTCCTATTCTGTCGTGTCCTGCACCCTTTTTCTTGCATGCAGTTGTATAATAATGAGCAGCTAATCACATGTCTAACCACCAATACAGAATGCATTCTTAGTCATAATGATGCGCATTCCTTCTCATCCTGCATGCAGATATCATTTCCTGGCCAATAATATAGCACTGTAACTATTCCGTCAAACCTACTAGTCTTGATCCACCTTCTTGCGGGCAACACACACCGCCCTCGGCATCGACAACCCAACCCCCAATCTAGACTCCTCAGCCAGCCCCCTAATCATCAGCTCAATATTACGTGCATCCTCGGCCTTCCCGACGCTTTTGAGGCGAGCTGAAAACTCCTCCATGACCAGAATGTACTGATCCCCATTCGCCTTGCGCAACTCCGGCCGGTCCGTATAATTAACTAAATGCGCATCTTCGAACCCACCATGGCGCGCCATCAAATGATGCGGGAGACCTAGCACCCAGTCATTGCGCCCATTTGACTGTGCGAATCGAAGGAAGGCGTCGTGCGCCGGAGTGGCCACGCCACCCATGGTATTGCCTTTGACTATCTCGCTGTCGGGGTAGTTCAGGTCGTCCCACTGGATGTAGCCGCCGGGCTTGAGCATCTGGTGCACCTTGTGGATAATCGGGAGGGGGTCACTGTTCTGCACGACGAGGACTAGCAGGCGGAGGTGCACCACGTCGTATTTGCCGCGGAGGTCGCTGGGGATGTTGTCGAAGATGTTCAGCTGGTAGAGCGTGATTGGTGGAGGGAGCCATTCTGGAGGAGGGGCGTTTGTTAGGTCGATGTCGAAGCCATCCAGCCGGATTGACGTGTACTGCGTCACTGCGGGATCGCGGAGTAGGTCCAAGAGCCAGATACCTGTGCCCGTGGCCAGGTCAGCAATCCGGATGGGAGTGGAATCACTCTTTGGCAGCTGGATCGACGGGTGGAGGTTGAATTGGAGGGCGTCTTTCCAGAGGTAGAATTGATAGTTTAGTCTGGATGCGGCGGTGTAGCTTCGGTCTAGCATGTATTCGAGCTCGTTTCCCACATTGAACCCGGAGTTGATGGTGCTGTTGTCGACTTTCATCATGTTGAGTTTGGTATAGAGGAATAGAGGAAGGTACAATGGGGATACATAACACTTGGGAGGTATTCTATCCTCACAGCAAAAGGAAATCACCCTCGTATCATGCCATTATATACGTATCCCTTGGGCCTCAGTGAAACCCTTAGTCTAATAGAGCCAACTAAAGTATGATTAACCCAGCTGAAGCGTGCTCAGCTCACTATGACCTATTCAGCACACATTCACAACGCCACCGCCACGACTATAAACAGCATTAGGCAATAAAAACGAAGAGATCGCATTCGTCGATGCCCCACTGGGGTCAGTTTGGGGCTGGCGTAGAAGACCAACTTGAGCGGCAGAATGAACTAATGCATGCAGTATTGACACGGTTATGCTGCAGTCATAGAAGCAAACTCCAATAGTGCTATATAAATATTACCACCCTCACTTCTGCTTGCTAGGAAGTATACATCTGAAGCTCACTTGAATAAATACTCTCATCATGACGATCAAGAACCTACGACTTGGGCTAGCCATTGGTCATGGCACAGGCCAGGAGCTTATTGCGGTCTTCAAGAAGGTTATCCAAGCACTAGCAAGCAAGCACCCTCTACATGTTGAATTCATTGAAGCATCTCGAATATACCATTCGTACCATACCCTCACTGTTTCCGGAGTCGAGAAAGACCTGGTCAAACACATTGCGGACGAAACGAGTCAAGATGCAGAAGACTATCGTAATTTTTGCGAGACAGCTGCAGCCAACGGTATTGCTGCAATATTTCGCACGGCTATCCACGCGCAGTCTCTCTACCTTGTCCGGGATCAACTGAATGCCGTCAAAATTGAACACTTTGACCTGGGCAACTCAAATGCCCTGCTCTTCATTCGTGACGAAGCTCAGGGGTTCTACGCTGGTGTCAATGAATATCACAACGACGACCACAGCATCACACGAACTAGCCCCTTCAGACGCTCCATCTTTGACCAAATCTTGGCATATTCTCTGCAAAGAGCAGCGGAGGAGTGGGGTGAGCAAAATGTCCCCAAATCCGTCACGCTTGTCTACAAGTTTCACCTCTTCGACGGAGTCTTCCAAGCTTGGGCACCACACTGGACGTCCCGCTTTGGCATCGATGTCGACTTCATCCAGCCGGACACCATGAACAGGAATCTAATGGCCTCGGGTGTCCACGGCCGCCGTATCATCATTGCGGGCAACGAATACGCCGACATCATCCAGCCCATTTTCTTGAAATGGTTCGGCAACTCCACCATTGAAACTATGTACGCAGAGAATGTGTACTTAAGCCCCAGCCTGCATCACCTAAGCGAGTACCAGACGGTGCATGGGTCTGCGGACGCCATCGCGGGCCAAGGCCTCGTCAATCCTTTTGCTACTATCCGCGCCGCGGCTGCCATTCTGGAACGGCATGGAGGATGCCCCGGCGCTGGATTTCAACGCCACACGGAAAAGGCTATTGAAAGTCTTCTCATGAGAAAGCTCACCACTCCTGACCAGGGCGGCTCGTGCAGCACGGATGCGGTAGTTGAGCATTTCCTGGATGCAATTGACGATCCTATAGCTCCCGAGGCTCCTCCTTCCCGCAACGATACAGCCTCAGAGCCAATCAATGCCTGGATAGGTAAAAAGACAGCCGTCATACTGGTGGACTACCAGAACGACTTCCTCTCAAACGCACCCAGTCCGGCTGTGTCCGAACTTTCCAACACCATTCCGCGGCTCATACAATGTGCCCGCAGCAAGGGAAGTGAAGTCATCTTTGTTCGCTTCCTGGGAAACGCCAGCTTCCAAGGCCCCAGCTGGAAGTACCGGAATGCATTGCTAGGGAAAAAGGAGAGGTGCGTCGAGGGCACCTGGGGAGCGGAGCTCGGCCCGGGCGCCGTCCCTGAGCCTGGCGAGCAGGTCTTTAATAAGAAGGCCTTATTTGATCCTTTCCTGGTTCCAGAGTTCTCTGAGTACATTGCCAAACAGGGTTTTGAGCATCTGATGCTGGCGGGCTTGTACAGTGATGTCTGTGTTGATGCCACGGCTCGGACAGCCTTCCAAAAGGGGTTGTGGGCCACTGTTGTTGAGGACTGTACCGCTGCTTTGCATTCAGATCAGAGTGACCATTTGAGGTTTATGGAGAACGTGTATGGGGCCCGTGTTATGAGGGCGGCTGCCTTGTTCGGGATGACGGCTTAGACGAGTCTCTAGACGTGTCAGGGATATTCGGGATTGAGCGTGTAGCTTTCAACGCTAGATCAGAAGCGCCGCACACGAACATATGCTGGGACCGGCAGAAGCACGTCTTTCGGAAGTATTTTGGATTTGAGGTGGGGGGAAAGGGTCTCTGCGCGTTTTTCCCAGCATATGGTAAAGGGTAGCGTCTAAGATGAGTGTATTTGCTAAGGCCTTAGCCCAGCCTTACGGTGATATTGTTGTCATAAAAAATTCGCTTGAATTAAGAAGGATAACTACTAGCTTCGATTGGATTCGTGAGACTCGCACACGTAGTACCCTGCATACCGCTGTACGATATTTGCGAAGTCTCATGCCGTTATCTTGCTGTGGGATTACTTGCTCAGGCCTCTTCTCAGGCAGCGAAGGATTATTGCTGCATCATTCCTGCAAGCGAGGGGAAAGAAATGCCTGTTAATATTGTCAGTTAGTGGATCACTTCTTTAGCCCATTTCAGCTTGATCTGATCGTTTATGTCCATTTTAATCAAGGCAATGCAGTGATGTAAATAGTAACCTGCTTGAGGGTAATAGTCTTGTAATGAGGGGATATCTCCTATTTTGGTTGAGAAGCTCATTAACTAATGCGATCTTGCTATCAGGGTTCTTGGTATATCAAGGCCTGCATCATGTCACTATTCACATCTAATAGAGATAAGTGGGGTAGACCATCCCACATCATCATTAAGTAGAACCAGGTCAATGGCTGGTTTATTTCATTAAGATATCTAAAAGGCCCGGCCCATGATTGTTGCAAGCATTTACTCACTTTCCCGTACTCACATGCTCCTACAGATCTCCCCGTTCATGACTTTGGCAAGTTGCATCTGTATTTAGAGTGCTATTCTGGTTTTATAAAGGAAAGCTTGCCCAGCTTGACCATGTCTCAGCCTCCTCAAGGCAACCCTCTAGAAATTTCTCATCGCACGTGGCCAAATTTCCAGATTACCATCATCAGCAAAGATGCGGCACCCTTTCCGTCGTTTCGAGCGATACCATCAAAGAAGGACACGCCGACAAAATTTTGCTGTGTGATATTCGGAGTCATGCAGGAATGTAAGGAGATGCCCCAGCTGAAATGACGTTAACTTATTCCAACCAGAATAGCTCCCAGAAGCTGAAATTCACCGCCGACGACACCAGCTTCGTCAATGATGGGATCACACTTGCCTATTATATGTCTCTGGCAGGCGAGGTATAAAACAGAATCAAAGCAACTCATGACGGCTAGACATAAGTCAAAGGCGGCAGCAAAGAGCCCTCATCCGGCGGCACGATTGGCGAAAGTCAAGCTCCTTCCCAGCAATGCTGAGAGCAAGCCGAAGGCGCCTATCGAGCCCAACAAGGAACTGCCAGATGGTGTCAAGAATATCCTTTTGCAGATGGGTGATAAAAATGGCGCTCAGGTGGCGGACGTAGAGGAGCTGTCCAAGAAGCTGGGCAAGCTTGCTGCCACTTCGATGAATTTTGCTACAGTCGCTGGGTAAAGCTCCTTGCCTGGCACTTTCAATCTTTCCAAGGTGACGGTCACGCTAACTGCTCCTCTGGTAGTTCGGAGAAAGCCAGTGACCCAGGGACTTGACTGAAAGTCAATGGGCTCGTATTTTGGCAAATAACCGCGCGCTGCATGGTTATTATCTAAATGGGGCCAGTGGTATTATGCGGAAAACCTCCAAGAGAGGTAAATTAATACCAAATACCATACCCGGCAATGCTCTCCTATTAACCTGCTGAAGCGTTCAATCTGGCGCCTAGGAAGGGCGACGGTACCACGACCAATGTCAGTTCCACCATTTGGCGTTTTCTATGCTTGTACTGACACTCTTCCCTGAAACCATTGCCGCCGTTCCCTCCGTTATATGTTCATGATGAGGCCGATGTCGAGGTGACAGAGACGCAGAATGCTTTTCAGACCATATTAGCAAGACAGGATTTTATAGCCGGCCGCAATGGGCCGCTACCGTTCGGAATCAGAATACTGGCGCATCATCGATGTGGGTTCCTCGCTGTGCAAGTCACTTTTAGGAGATTCGAACTAATAGACCTTGATTTACTAGAACTGTTCTCCTGGACTGTGGCCTAAAAGCTCATAAATGGCTCCACGTCGTTATGAAGCAGGCTCCGTCGGATATTCCAATCTTGCGGTCTGCCTCACCCGAGACAGCAAAACAGGATCTAATGCGCATTGGGCAACCCAAGTCAGAGCGAAACGTCCATCTCATTTTTCTGCAGTGTGTCAAAGTGCGGAAGGGCAGGTCTTCTTCATGCTCGAGTCGGGGAATGCTCTCATCGATGCTGCTTCGTTTTTGATTCTTTTGCATGATCTCAGTCTGATGCTCGACGGGGGAGAGCCAAGTGGACCGTCTCGTCGGTATAAAGAATACATATTGTACCTTGGCAAGACACTGAGCAGCAAGGGTTTGCTGTACTGGAAGAAGGTTCTGTCAGGTGCGCAGCCTTGCCTTTTCCCCCAGCTCCACCAGCGTTCCTCGACCTCTGATGGCATAGGACGGGTGCATACGCTCAAGCGCTTCATACCAAACCCGGAGACATTCCACTCGTTCTGTAGACTCAATCGGCAGACAGCAACAAACATTTTTCAGTTGGGTTGGGCGCTTGTGCTGCGCCGGTACACCGGTCACACTGACGTGTGTTTCGGATGTCTGACCGAAACATTCCTTTACCCGGTGTTATGGAGACGGTCGGCCCTTTCTTTAACGTTCTGCCGTGTCGTTTGCGCGTCGAACTGGATATCCCTCCTCTGGAACTCCTTCGACCGAATCAAGCCGCTATGCACTCCCGCCTTGAAAACCAAAATTGCTCCCTTCTGGACATCATTAGATGCACTGGATTGGAGCTTGATGGGCTTTTGAATACGTGCCTCACTGTGCAGCCTGCATTATCCAGTTCTTTCTCGACTCAGAGCGAGCAAACGGACGGTGGATTGGAGCTTCAGGAGTATGACGATCCCACTGAGGTAGGCCTTACCTTATCATATCATAAACCATTGCAGTTTCTACATCGAAAGCATCTGTGTCTGTCACTGACTCCGGCTAGTTCGCCATTTGTTGTGCTGTTCTGGCCTCCCCTGGAGCGTTGGAAGTCGACTTACGCTATTCCGATACCATCTGCACAATGGAGGATGCGGTCAAAATATCGGACCATTTTATTGACGCTGTGCACCGAATTGTGCTCTGCACGGAAGATACCATAACGCAGCTTTGCAGGGCTTGTTAGACTTCCCACGATGGTTCCAGTAGTTTGATCGATCGGAGTACGAACTATTCGTGTGCCATTTTCAGCTACCCCCGCCCTCCGACCTGAATAAGGAGTTTGACTCCCAAGGGGGTAACTGCGCTATGGAGAGAAGTAATTTCCTTTGGGACATATATATTAGAGGGCTTGGGTTATTACTACACATATCTTCAATGATGATGACCACCATCTGTACGGAATAAAGACGGTTGCGTGTTGAGTCAGTTAAGGTTTGCGTCGACTATCGAGACTGGAGAGTTGTAATGTTCGTGAACGGTAGTGAATTTGAAGTTGAGTGGATCGACAAGCTTGGTGCAAAACTACCTCATAAGGCTCCCCAAAAGGATGTCACTCGGAAATGGAAATCCTCGGGACGGAAGCCGCATTCATCATAAAGAATTTTATTTAGTATCTCCTCTAATAAGCCTCTTCCATACTTAATACTAGAGCTATTGGTTAAGGTCAATGCTATTATAGGCTTTTGTCAGATCACCTGTCTGTAGAGTTTGTGCTATGGAGCTGGTATGTAGTTGGACAGTAGTGGTATGCTATCCCAACCAAAGCTACACTTATAGATAACCAGTGTCACTAATCACATTATAGGCGCTGTTAATGATCCGCCGCCGCGATGGGCTTAGTTGATAGATAGGACGGCCTCTGTCACAGCATGAAGGAACGAAAAGATATACTATAAATAAGAAACTAAGCTAAGAGATATCTGTGTCCTACACACCCTCAACGCGGAGCGTTGAGGGTGTGCTGCTAAGACACAGATAGCAGGTGCTAGACAATAAGCATGAGATAAGCTCCTTTCTGAGATCTAAGCAAAGTATAACTGGGAGCAGCTAATGCGAGAAATCCAACACTAGCTATCTGGAGATACGCTGGCTGAAACAGAGAAGCCTTTGAAATGTTCTGAGGTGGTGCCTGCACCACAGAAGCGACAAATTACAGGGCGGTCCCCTGAGGGTTCCGGATAGATCATTTTGACAGATAGAAAAGCCGCACCCTATGGCAACTCTCGCCGAGGGAACTCCCCGCAACGAATTAGAACGCTAGGACACCAATATACTGGATCTTAGAGGTATGGGAGGAATGATTGGTTACAGGTTACCGGTCTGAATAAGAATAGAAGGACAATGAGAACTGATTTGATGCAGAAGGTGATGTTAAGGATCCAGCTTTGTGGTAAGCCTTAGGTATTGATAAAGTGGCATATCGCGCCTCAAGTACTCTGCATTTCTGGCTTGACAAAGTCAGCAAAAGAACCACATACGGCGGACCGAGCAAAGATAGATGGACATACAGATTATAACGCTCCAAGCAGATTTCCACTCAAGCTCTTCTCTCCTCATCAATCCCCCTGTCCATAGTGCCTATTGAAGGGTACATGCGCTCGCCAATCGCCCTTCGACGATTCATTTCTTTCACTAGTCTCAGCTGCATCTGCAGATCTTGTTGCTCAGCATCACCTCTAGGAGCTGGAAAATGCTCTGGAAATTCCATCTCACAACACTTGTGGAGACACTGCACTTGAACGGTGTTCCAACCTTGCGAGTAGAAATGGCGTGAGATGGCTTCTTTCATCGCCTCAATATGAGCAATGAAACAAGAACACTGTGGATCAGTCCATTCTTGGGAGCACAAGAAGTCGTAAAGTCTCTTCTCGGAGGTAGTCAGGCTCGATGGGTCGACGGCGTGAGGCTCATCTGGAATCGATATTGCGTTGAGAGCAACGGAGGGCGTTTGGCTTGGGTTTGGGAGACCAGTACCAGGCAGAGGAGTCTCCTCATCTGCGTTGACTGACATATTTTGGCCTCTTTGTAATTTGTAGAGACTGGACTGAACTAGGCTCCGAGTTGGATAGGCTGGCGAAATAATGAGTGATAATCAAGCGCCACACAAGGAACGATGTAGTGGTGGCGTTGCTTTATTTATCCGCTGAGATACCCTTGCACTTTAGCACAACGCATACGGTAATCTACTGGTAGTATTTGTACCATACGGAGTATGATCACATGGCTTTCGCAAAGTTACAAAGTTATCTTTAAGGACTACTCCGTATACGATGTAATACCAAGTATCCATGCTCCTTACATCCCGTTCTTTTGTCAAATCCAACAATAGACGACTACCTACTTCCGGCCTGAATCCAGGAACAAATGGTAATGGCAGTGCGGAGTGAGTAGTTGCAAGCATTATTCATATGTGTGCACTAATGAGAGCAAAGTCAATTTCCATCAACGAATCACTGAAAAAGACTCAACTATAGAATATACATACCTGGTTCTGTGGATAACAGTTGGTAGTGCAGATCCTGACCATGATATCGGCAACTAATGTTATTGTCAAGGAAATGGTGTGTCTTTTTACATCTCTGGCTCTTTACTCTACCACCCCTGGGAAACTCGGCTTAACTGATCTCTATTCTCTATCAGGTGTCTGTTACTTCGAGGGCAAACATAACTCATGCGACCCCCTGGGATTGCTATTCCCGGTGGTTGCCCATGAAAATGATACGCAGTGGCCTACGCATGAGGACAGAGGGATGAGCTGGAAGGGTATATTGTATTTCGCTACTGTGCCTCCTTAGGGAAAGAGTGCAGACTGACTAGAATTAAGAATATTCTAGCCTGACAGTGTTTGATTGTATACAGTAAAAGTCCTGTCTCAGATACCAATAAGAATCCCTTTTGATCAGAACTCTAAGACTGTCGAAGAGCTCGGGATACCGTCAGGGCGGGGTGTGTTTGTTCTGATAGAGGTGGGACAAAGGCTAGCGAGCACTTTTCACTTAACTAAACAAAATTTCTGAGTGATGATTGGCCGTTGCAGGAGTATATTTGGATTAAATCAGAGCTTCTTCCTGGATATCAGTCAGAGGATGGCCGCGTAACCTCTTGACTACGGTCGCTGCTCGCCCCTCCTTGGATGCTGCGGCAGATCCACCTCTTCTGGAGAGCATCATATGCGCCTGCAATCGAGGTCATAGCATTCCAGGAACCAAGACCGCGCCAGTTTTAATACCATTACCATGGGCTGTAGTTAACCGGCAAAAATCCCTTGTTATGCCCGCGGATAACAGTGATGCATGCTCGGTCGTCGTCCCGTTACCAGCCCCGTTCACTGGCCGTGCTTTCCAGTATTCGTCGACTGGCTGTGGAGGGACGGGAGAGACCGGCGGGAACGACACTTAAGCACCACTGCATTGGTGACCAGGAAACGTAGGGCCATTCTGCGATGCTGGGGCAGTGCAATGTAACCTCAGAAGAGGTGGACGGAGCGGGGCAGGCGGCGTTGAGATTATACCGGCATTTTGTAGTTGTGAAAGAGGCTGGCGCAATCAGAGACGAACAAGGCTGATCGGCAGAGGAAGACCTAGATAGCTTCGTAGCATGGTGCACCAGCCAGTCCCTTGGGAAAGGAGTAGGAGTACTCTGTATCGACAGGACGCTACACGATGCTTGTGCTGACCATCTGACATCTGATCTACAATTACTGGGGTAAGGATCAACCTGGTCTAAGCCCAAACTTGGCAATGAACAAAGCAATGATCTGCCAGCTGTGACTCTAACCTTTTGCTATTTGAAACAAACAGAAAGCGCCTACTGACTTGGCAGTTCAGCATTAGGCAACACTATTATTGATTTTATGATCTAACAAAAACCTTCTCCTTCGCAGACTTTCAGTGATATTATTGATATACACCTTAATCAGCTACCATGGAGAAACTTGAACATCGGCCAGATAATTCTTTTGTCAATGTTCGAATCACCCTTGTTGTTATTGCCATCGTCTCGTTTCCCTTCAACATCATTGGCATTCTCATCGCAAATGCCCAGACTGCGTCGATCAACCAGCTAGTAGCTGTAAGTATAGCCATCTCTATATCATTTCTTCATGACAGCATTGTAACCCAGGATCTTTCTTTCTTTAGCTTAGCTGCTCTGGCCTGTCATCTATTTTATTGCTCTATCGGTACCGGCAAGACCCAGCATCGTCAAAATCTATCGCTGGTGTGAAAGTCATCATCACCGACCTTTTCTTCGCAATATACCTCACAGTGATATACTTGACTATGCTCATTGTTTCCGGGGCCGTGGGCAAGCATGTGGTCTGTGTGTATGGCAATCTAGCATGTCTTGTCTCAGGGTAAGTGTCCAATAGCTACGTATCTTGTCTTCTTATGGAAGCTAATGAAACTCTCCAGTCTTTTCCATGCATATGCGGTCGTACGAGCTGCTCTAGACCGATACAAGGCTTATTTAGCCCGTATGTCCCAGCCCAAGAGCGTCGCCTTCTGTCCCGCCTGCTCCTGCAAGTCGGTTTATCATATCATGGATGGAGATCAGGAGACGGGTGTGGCTGTTCTTAAAATGTCGCCAGGGCTCATCGATGCCGAGAGTGAGCCTCTCATGGGCGGTGATAGTGCTCCGTTCCGAGCTTCTGAGGACACTGCGGTCAGTCTAGGGAGTGAGGTTACTGTAGAGACATTTGATGGGTCTTCGGAGACAGGACGGACAAAGTGAACCGGTGAAAATACCGAATCTCCGGAGATTTAGTGAGGCTCGTCAATGTACGTCAGATAATCTGCCGTTTGTGTGGAACGAGGAAAGGGTAGAGCATATCATCTATCGACTGGACACTCTGCAGGAGGTCAGACGATTGTTGATTGACATGGAATTGGGAACTTATTCAAGCACTCAATCGTCATGGAATTTTATTGCCCGTCTGAGGCGCAAGCACATAGTCCCTCGTCACTTATAACCGTTCAAGGGCCGACTTTGAAACCTTAGAAAGCTTTCGTTCAACCCTCTACCACCTTGATCTTAGCTATAGCTGGAGATCTGTAACCGGTAACTCTGTAGTTCGTTCTGTCTGAGATGCGAAGGAACCATAATATCCTCTTGTATTGAGGATAAAGGACGGAGACTCTGGTTTCCCCCTTTACAAGAGTTTGGACCTTCTATCAAAACTTTGCCAAAGGCGTCTTTGATAGCCTTGCCGTCCTCGCCCACGGGGTGCCACTCGTCAGCGAGAATTTCAGGCATTTTGGTGGAAGCTGTACTCGGAACGACTGATAACCGAGGACCAGAACAGTATCTCCTTTGCGAAAATCGAGTCTCCCCGGAGCAATGGAGCGATGATTATAGACCTCGGATCCCCGCAAGCGCTGGTGATGATCATCCTGATGTATGTGGCGGGGTGAAGCTGCGCCGGGCTATCCTATTGTGGTGAGGTTGATCTTCATAGCTAAAGACACCATTGTGATCTATGCATCCGTCACTCATGTTGTTATGATTATGGTTGGTTACCTTGCTGTAGATTGCTTGCTCAGGCCTCTTCTCAGGCAGGCAGCGAAGGATCATTCCTGTAAGCGAGGGGAAGAAATACCTGTCAATGTCGTCAATTAGTGGATCACTTCTTCAGTCTATTTCAGCTTGATTTGATCGTTTATGTTCATTCCAGTCAAGGGAATGTAGTGATGTTTAGTAATGAAGTGGTTGAGGGTAAAGTCTTGTAATGAGGGGATATCTCATGTTTTGGCTAAGAAGCTACTTAACTACTGTGTTCTTGCTATTAAGATTCTTGCTAACAGGTTTTGGAATGCCGACAGCAAGAATGTCTGGTCAACATGCACAAATTCATCGAAAAGATTTTGATAACGGCGTAGCTGATCATCTCTCATCACCCGGGCAGAGGCTACGGCTAGGTGATGAAGCTCTAGCTAATTGGATACGCAATATTCTCCGGCAGGTATTTGCCTCTGGCGGGAATACTTCGATGGGACGGACAGGAAACGACGTCAGAGCGTTCTTCGAGAGTGAGAGTTTTACGTGTGAGCAATGCAATGCTGCGCTGGATGAGGATGAGCAAGAGAGCAGGTGGGACGAAAAGAAGGGTTGGAAGGAGCTGACGCTGGCAGAGAATTGTAATGTTGGTTTCATTGCGTACCAGTTGGGGATCATTAAAGGCCATTGATATTTTCGTTGAGATTTAGTCTCAAGACTTATGCATATAAATCGCACTCACGAGCGGCCTCCCTCCGCAACCAATTGCTCCCACTGTACCCATTCATTCGGGTCCATCTCGAAAGACAGGATATCAGGAAACTCGCAAGAATCAAGAGATTCGAAATCGGGAAGACTTTCGTATCCATTGGATTGTATTTGGTTGCAGCCGAGCGAACTCTCAATAACAGAACCACGCTCCGCAGCCAGAGGTTCGGTTCGAGTTGGATCTCTTGTTGACCTGCTCCTACCACGGATCGCATCGATGTACTCCGGCGTCGATGGTTCCGGCAGCCCCTCAGCCCTCGAAGCGGCAACATAGTGGTCCCAAACCTCCAGCGTCCACTTGCGAAGCACCGTATCCACCGGTGCAGGGGTTCTGCCAAAGATCCGAGGACAAGAGAACACGAGCCCGATCAACTGCCAGGACCGGTCCACCTCCGGCCCCGTTCTGCGATGTCGAATTTCAATAAGCATGTAAAGCATTGCGTTCCACAGCGCGCTTGTGCCGATCTGCCACGTATATTTCTCCAAACCGTGATGGCCGCCTTGCACCAAGGTTACATATTCCAGTAGCTTTGTAGCGTTGGCGAATACGATGTCGCGCTCTCTTTGGAGATCTTTCGGGGGAATCCTGGCGAATTGGCGCGGATTGTGAGCAACGAGCTTCATCTTGCATATGGAGAACCGGATCATGATCGATACGAAAGTATGAAGCGGGTTTGCCGGGTCACAATACCGCAAGTACTTTCGTTCTAAATGATCCTCAATTTGGCTGATGATATGGTCCTTTTTGGCGGGAGGGACATTGGGCCCCAGTAGTACTTCCCAGCGCATGTCGGCAGGAGAAGATGTTGAGAAGTCATGCAAAGAGACCATGATCTCGTGTCTGATCAGGCAAAGGGATATAGGGGCGATGCCATTGCGTTCAGGCGGCAGGTCAGTCATGTCTGGATGCAGATCCTCGTCATCGACATTGAGTGGCGTTTTGGTGTCCGCGCAGGTAATATCCATTGACGGTCTGGCCCCCAGCACATCGGCGACCCGAAAGTCCACATGGACCAAATGCCACCATATTCGTCTTCGCATTTCTGTCTCGAATGGCGAAAGTCCGAGAAATGAGCCATCGCGGTGCAGTCCCATTTTGCGTGCCAGCCGGATGGCGACGCCGGACAAGACAAATAAGGTGTCGCACGAGTAACTCTTTCGAACGCACATCTTCATTTGTTAGTCGCCGTGAAACAGGCGTGGATAGCTATGGCTTACCATGAACAATACATATGCCTGAAGAGTCATGAGATTGGAAGTCGACAGCAATCTAGCATTGATCAAAGCTAGACGAGTGGCGAGTCTATAGCGGGAATACATGACCGATTCCGAGAGTCCGAACAGATCCTGGCACTCGACATCGTTGAGAGTACTAACGACCGCCAGGTAGAAAGCGAACATGATAGCCTCTAGACTTCTGGATCGCTCTACTGGATGCCGCAGTCCATTCTCTAACGTAGTCGAGAATGTCGGAAGATGCAAGATTTTAACAAGAGGGTCAACCCGATCGGCGTATATATCCCTTAGCTTTGGCAGTATCTGCACAGACGGATGGAGGCTGGCGAGATTCTCGACTTTCTCATTCTGTCCGAAGAACAACGCATTTTCGTCGGAAAACGACTCATCCACAGGTCCACCGACCTCTGGATGCTGAAACTAAGCGACATTAGACACGAGTGCCAGGTAGCCATGAGGAAAGCAAGGACTGTGCTTACCTCGCCGCCGAAAATAGACCAAGGTGCACTGCACGATGTCAGCTTCCAAGAACGATGGTGGAAGGCAATAGACGCAATATACCTGTCAAAGTATCTGGATACGCCTTCGCGTATGATGAGTTTTGGTTTGGTCTCCTCGAGCGTGGACTGTGGGGTGTCGACGGCGTTGGCATCCTCGTCCATGCATGCATCACTTTCGGAGTCGGAGTCATCGAGATCATCGGATGGCTCAGATTTGATACCGTGTAAACTCAGCAATTTCTCATACCGTTCCAGTTTGGCGTGCAGACCCTCTCGGGGAGGTCTCGTCCTTTTACGTTTCCCGCGCACCGGGGGAACGAAGCTGCACTGCTTGTCGGCCCTGACGCAGTTGCAACACGGAACACGCCGGTCGCATTTGACCTTTCGCTGCCGACAGGTCAAGCAAGAGTAGCTTTTAGAATTTCTGCTTTCTGAAGACCGAGTCATTGTTGCATGTTCAGCGTGGGATAAGGTACGTGTCGGGGTGAGATGAAGAAAAGAACGATGGAAACAGCGGTCGGGGTTCGGAAGAGAAAAAACAATTTTTGAGCCCCGAGCAGCGAGTGGTCTACTGCCGTATATATTTAAATATTCATATAATTTTTAGCACGATTCATTATGCGTCCCTGATCATTAGATTGTGTCCTTCAACTCTTCCAGTTGTTCGAAACTGGATTTATCAACTATCACGATGTCTCAAGAGAAGCCTCACAGTGGCCCGGCCAAAGATGACCTGGGCAAGGATGACATTGTCTACCCAACTGGTCTCAAGCTCGCTCTGCTGATAACTTCTATTTTCATTGGAATGTTCCTGGTTTCTCTGGTGTGTTGAAACACGTCTCGTCGAGATCGACTCTCTATACTGACCACTGCAGGACCGGCTCATCATCTCGCCCGCGATTCCCCAGATCACCGACGAATTTCACTCAGCAGGAGACATTGGCTGGTATGGCACCGCGTATCTGCTTAACAACTGTGCTTTTCAGCTGCTGTTTGGGAAGATATACACCATATTCAGCATCAAGGCCACATTCATGACGTCCATTGTCCTGTTCGAGGTCGGATCGGCCCTCTGCGGCGCGGCTCCAAACTCGATCGGGTTCATTCTCGGCAGAGCCATTGCCGGCCTGGGTTCTGGAGGCATTTCCGCTGGTGCCATGACAATCCTCGTGTATGCGCTTCCACTGCATAAGCGTCCCAAGTATCAGGGCGCCTTTGGGGCTGTGTTTGGGGTTGCTTCGGTGGCTGGCCCGCTGGTTGGCGGCGCATTCACCACCAATGTCACCTGGAGATGGTGCTTTTATATCAATATCCCCTTAGGAGCAGTGGTAATTGTGGTCATCCTTCTTTTTCTCGATATTCCCGACCGTCCGAACACCCAGAGGCCGTTGAAAGAAAAGCTGCGTCAGCTAAACGGTCTGGGGATACTTGCCATTATTCCTGGGATTGTTTGTCTTTGCTTGGCTCTGCAGTGGGGTGGTACCAAGTACGCAGTATGTTCTCTTTCATTATTGGCTTTTTTCACCACTGGTATTGACTGCGTCTAGTGGAGCGAGGGTCGGGTCGTCGCGCTGCTGGTGTTGGGCCTTGTGTTTCTCATCGCGTTCGTCATGGTCCAGGTGTGGAAGCCAGAGCAGGCGACGCTGCCACCACGCGTCTTCCTGCAACGGAGCATCGTGTCCGGGTTCTGGGCCAGCTGCTGTCTCGGCGCACATGTCATCTTGTTCGGTGAGTCGGCTGGGATTTCAAACCTCAGTGACGATCCGCTTGCTAATAACCGACAGTGTATTATCTTCCCATCTGGTTCCAGGTGATTGACGGCGTCTCGGCTGTCAAGAGCGGCATCCGCCTCCTCCCTATGCTTCTTCCACTGGTGGTAGCGTCCATTCTCACAGGCCAGCTAGTCTCCCGCATCGGCTACTACACGCCCTTTCTGATGCTCGGGATCGTCCTCTCCTCCATCGGCGCCGGTCTGCTCACCACTCTCGGGGTCCACACATCACCGGGCAAGTGGATCGGCTTTCAGGTGCTATATGGCTTTGGCCTCGGCACCTGCAACCAGATACCGAACATGGCGGCGCAGACAGTGCTCCCCCGCGAGCAGGTGGCCATCGGTGCGTCGCTCATGTTCTTTGCGCAACAACTCTTTGGCGCGGTCTTTACGTCGGTCGGCCAAAACGTGCTCAGCAACCAGCTGGCCAAGCGTCTGGCGATCAGTCCGCAGGTGGTCCAGAATACAGGGGCCACGCAGCTTCTCGGTCATGTTCCTGTCGAAGACCGTGCTGCGTCGCTGGGGGCTTATAATGACTCGCTGCGGGTGGTTTTCCAGGTTGGCCTCATTATGGCCTGCCTTGCCACTCTGGGTGCAGTGACCATGGAATGGCATACTGTCAAGAAGAAGCAGGTGCCTTCAAATTCTGAGACCGAGGCTGGACATGCTGCAGAGGAGGGAATGAACCAGGGTGATCTGAAGGAGAGAGGAAACCTTGGCGGGCGCACAGAATAACCAGTCAACAATGGACTACAATCAGGCGATGGGAAATTGAATATTAGATAACATCAGTAACTGTGATGAACTGTACAATAGTAGTGAATAGAGGCATATCCAGCAAATGAAGAAGGATATTGTGATTTGTGTTTTGAGTCGTGGAGAAACCCGCAATTCAGCGCCACAAAGTGACAAACCAATAGAATCCTCATTCCCCAGCCACGCGCCGGTTATTCTCTGTTAAAACAGGCTCTTTAGCTTCCAGGCACTAGAGCTGCTGTACCCAATAAGACGCAGTATTGCCCACATGTTGACCGGCGAGTGGATGCCGAATGATCACATCAGGATCAGCAGCCAAGATAAACCCCACGTCCGAGAGGGAGGATGATCTTCCAGAGTGACAGACAAGTCATTTCTCACGACTCTCATCAACATCCCCCGCAAGGGTTACAGAACCACCGCCAAAAATGCAACCCAAAGCAGATAAAGATGCACATGCATCATTTCCAGCAAGTAAACAGGCCTCGGACGAGACGGCGCATCTCCTACCGCATGATCCACCAGAGGAGATAAATATCCAGCGGTCGCGCAGACGACCCCGTTCCTGGTGGGCTCTCGTCGCCATCTCGCTGCTCCTGGTTACCATGACTGTTTTGTCGCTGGCTGTTTTCTTCACGCTGGGCTTTGGCGCAGGCGCTGCGCCTCATGTGCCCCACAGCAGACTCTCCAGTCCGATCAAGAACGTCGTGGTTCTGGTGCAGGAGAACCTGTCGTTCGACAACTATGCCGGCGGCCTCAGATACAATCCTAGTATTGATGGCCTCGTAAACCGCGAGTACTGCAACCCGGCCAATGTCTCCGATCCCCACTCGCCAGTGGTGTGCGCAAAGCCCACGGCGAAGAATGTCGCCCCGGATGATCCTGACCACAGTATCACCGGTGGAAATCATCAGGTGTACAGCACCTACCATCCAGATTACGACGTCCATGCCCCCAACATGCAAGGCTTTGTTGCTGAGCAGATCGCCTCGTACGGCATCGAAGGCAACCTCTCGCGCGCCGGCGAGGTCATCAACTACTACACCCCCGAGCACGTCCCCGTCTTCAACGCCATGGCCGAGAACTTTGTTCTCTTCGACCGCTGGTTCGCCGCCGTGCCCGGCCCAACCAACCCCAACCGCGCCTATTTGACGTCTGGCACGTCCCACGGCCACGGCACCAACGACCCCGACTTCGACAGGTCGGCCCTCCCCCAGCGCTCCATCTTCGAGCAGCTCTCCGAAAACAACATCAGCTGGATCAACTACTCCAACACGACCGGCTTCCTCCCCGACGCGCTCTTCTACCGCTGGACCGCCATGTCCGGCCTCGGCGAGACCAACGTCCGCCCCATCGACCAGTTCTACCGCGACGCAAAAGCAGGCACCCTGCCCCAGTTCACCTGGATCAACCCGGAATGCTGCTCGTACATGTCCTTTCATCCCCCGTCACCCATCAACATGGGCGAGGGCTGGATCAAGAGCGTCTACGAGGCGCTCCGCTCGTCGCCACAGTGGCACGAGACCCTCTTCATCCTCACCTTTGACGAGCACGGCGGGTTCGCGGACCATGTCCCGCCTCCGGAGAACGTGCCTGCGGGTGATGATCTAACCTACACCGAGACGGCGCCGGACGGCAGGTCCGCCACGTTTGCGTTTGATCGGTTGGGGATCCGGGTGCCGACGGTGCTGATGTCGCCGTGGGTGGGCAAGGGCGTTGTGCAGAACAGGCCGACAGATGGGAACGGGGAGTTCACGCATACGTCTATCCTGAAGTTTGTGGCTGATCTGTGGGGGTTGGAGTACTTGTCGCCGCGGGTGGCCTGGTCGGCGAGTTTTGCGCATTTGATTTCGGATACGTATCGCAATGACACGCCGGAGAAGTTACCTGAGCCGGCGGATTTCTAGACATGTCAGTTAGTGATAGATATATTTCAGTCTTGCAATTGTTTAGCATTCAGAAAGATATTACGTCTCACAAGGCAGCATCAATGTAGTGGAGATATATATGTCATTAGGCTTCACCATGGCACCGTTAGGCTGACAGGGCTACTCAGTGGGAGGCAGCAGTGACGTAGGTCCTGAATTTTTGTTTAGTAGTGGTAAATGCTGGCTGAATAAAAGCTCCAAGTACCCAATAACCGGATTGACTGGATGGTTGTCTAAGGGAGGTATCAGATCATTCTGTTACCTATCGAGGCTTGACTTAGGCCTTATAATAAGGAACCTCGCGTGAACAATTTGAACTGCAATGCTCTACACCCATATGGATAACCTAGCGAGCTTACAGATAATGCTTTCCATTTATTGGTAAACACGTGGTGTTAGTATATGGCTGGCTGTACGGGAAGGTGAGATGAGTCATCACCCTTATGGAAACCATTGCGTTCACTCCATGTCCAAGTGCTGTCCTGTCCGATTTCCAGCAAGTTTGCATGCTAGCACAAATTTATCAATTGCAATAATAGCAGTCGTTCTACTCCTAAGGGTAGTCGGCTTGACCGGCTGACAGTGAGTTGGAGATATCTCCTGAAGAAACAGATCCTTACGAGCTCTGCCACTGCAATATTGAGGCCTCCAGATACCAGACAGAAGTCAGACAGAAAGTGCTTATCAACGTTATCCGGGTGTTCGGACGAGGGCTTATAACCAGGTAGGAGTGAGCACAAGCATTCCAGGCACTCATCCCTCGTTCGCATGGAATGTCACGGACTGAACATGCTCGAACGACCTGATAAGGCTTGTGCCTCTGGGACTTGCGTCGAAAATAGAACCGGTTTAGTGATATCTGTTCTTGGTAGTTTTAAGCCATAGTTCTCTTCACTCGGTCAGGCTGATAAGGAATAGTTGAATTTATTCAACCCGACTGACGATCTATGCATCAATCGAAGGCATGTCGCTCAGAGTTACCTATGAGTAATGAGCCCAGAGGAGGAAACTATTACCTAATGAACGATGAAGAAGCACACGCGTTCGGTCCTGCTGTCCAGTGTCCAACAGGTCGATCCTCGACTCCTTGTTCGGGCAGCAGGCAAGAGCCTTTCCGATACTCCGCATATCTCAGAGCTTATACTGCTGAAGAATGCGGAGCTGGCAACTCCGCCGAGCGTCAGAGTTATTTTCAGAGCTCCAAGCTCCAAGCCCCCAAGCCTCCTGCGCCGAATGAACCGTTTCCTGCAGGTTGGAGCATGTTGATCGGAGTTATGACGACAGATCATTTTTGTTCTTTGGCAAAGGTTTCGAGGCTTCAAGGCGGAAAAAAAGGACTGCCTGCTGCAGTTGTCTCATATTCATAGGGAAGTTTCATTGTTCGGCTGTTTCATATCAATTGATTGACCTGGAGCTTACAATTGCTCTGAACAGACGTCATGGCGTGTATCAAGTTTTCCATGAGTGCTGAGCTCGTATACCGTCTCCATGCCAGGATTAATTGCAGTAGAATGAATAGAAGCCTTAAATCAGGTACAGCAGCGTGACTAGCAGCCACCGTACGTCGAGCTTCCACAAACCATTTAGGCAAATGTTCATGGCAAGCATTATAGTCTGGCAGTGATGTCCAACACCGAGAACCCAGCTCAAGGTCAGGATGGGAGCTGCGCATCATCCCAAACGGGATAGGTATACATACCAAAGGCACGGCGCTTGACCTGATCGACACGGATCTGTCCTTGTTTCATTCCCTCGGGGACATCCTACATACCAGCACTATGATAAAGCTTCTCCGCGAGTGACAACGCCAGAAGGGGTGATACCAGGTTCTATTTTCTCCGTCTCTCCACTGCTCACGTTTGCTCGCCCTGGCTTCCACGGTCATGGACACACCTCACCTGATGTTATACGGATCCGTGTGGATCCCATCGCAGAGTATTTCATCATCCTGCCTCTTCGTTTGAGACGAGACGGTTTATTACTTCAGGTTTGGGATTGCTCCGTACTTGCTCGTTCCATGCACTATGATGGCTGCCAACGAGCTCAAACCGGTACCCCCAGCGCTCTTCAAAGAGACATTCTCCCATATACCGACCTCGTCGGACGATTTTTCGGACGACGTCGATGAGTTTGATGACTCGCGACTACCACCGGTTGACGGAGGATATCAAGCATGGCTGTTTCTGGCGGCTTGTTTCATGGTGGAAGGTATAGTATGGGGTGAGTCGTTCACTCCTCCAGTCCCAGCAGCAGAGGTTGACGGATGAGAGGATTCGCACAATCGTTCGGGGTCTTTGAGAACTATTATCGAACTCATGAGCCTTTTTCGGACTCGACAGAGATTGCGTCCATCGGGACCTGCGCAATGGTCAGATATTCTTCCCTTATAAGTGACGTACACTGACGTGGACTACGTAGGGCCTGGCTTACCTGCCCACACCTATCGTTATCGCCGTCATGTTTGCATTCCCCCGAGCTCGACGCTGGTTTTCGACCGCGGGATTCGTCATCATGTGTCTCGCGCTGGGCCTGAGTTCGTTCTCGACAAGCGTCACCCACTTGATCATGTCGCAAGGAGTGGCATACGGCATTGGAGGATGTCTAGCCTACACGCCGTCCATCCTCTTCCTATCCGACTGGTTCGTGGAGAAGAAAGGCCTCGCCTTTGGCATCGTCTGGGTATCTCCCCCCTCTCTATCACAGTACTTCCATCCAACTGACCTCCCAAAGAGCGGCTCCGGCCTCACAGGCATCCTCTTCCCACTGATCCTCCAAACCCTCCTCAACCGCTACGGCTGGCAAACGACCCTTCGCGCCTGCTCCATCGCGCTCTTCCTCCTCGCCGCCCCCTTCATGACATTCCACAAGCCGCGCATCCCCATCCGCCACTCGCACCTCCGCCAGCTCAGCCTCCGCTTCCTCTGGGACAAAGTCTACCTGATCTACCAGCTCGGCAACACAATGCAAGCCATCGGCTTCTGGATCCCGTCTATTTTTTTGACCTCGTATGCCCGCACCCTCGGCGCAAGCGACTTCCTCGCCTCCCTCACCGTCACCCTCTTCAACCTCATGACCGTCTTCGGCTGCATCTTCACCGGCTACCTCGCTGACCGGCACCACGTCACGAAATGCATCTTGCTTTCGTCGGCGGGGGCTGTCGCTTCCGTTTTCTTGCTGTGGGGGTTGGCGAACCACATCGCGACGCTGTACATCTTCTGTATCGTCTATGGGTTCTTTGCGGGCGGGTACTCGTCTTCCTGGTCGGCGCTGTCGCACGAGGTGCAGAAGAGCGAGCGCTCGGCGCATGTGAGTATGGTGTTTGCGTTTCTGGAGACAGGGCGCGGGGTCGGGAATGTGGTTAGTGGGCCGTTGAGCGAGGCGCTGCTGAAAGTCGGTGGGTGGAAGGCGGAGGCGTTTGGGGCGTATGGGTCTGAGTATGGGGTGTTGGTGGTGTTGACGGGAGTGACGGCGTTTCTGGGGGGTTTTGCATCCATGGCGAGGATGTTTCGGTGGATTTAATCTTGGTAAATGTACTGTACTATAGTAAAAGATGCATGCGTTTGTACGGAGTAGTGGTGATGGATAGATAGAAGCATATAGGACGAACAGAGTTATGTCATTCAATCTATATATATCTACATCTATATCTATTCCTCATGTCTATTATTCTGTACAGTTGACTATGCTAGCCAATAAACCGACCCTTGGCCCTCTCAAACCACCCCTTGTTCGGAGCAGACGTCTCCCACGAGGTACTCTTCGTCTCGACGCGTCCGGTATCCAGATCCGCCTCGAGGGGATCCACAAACTTCGTCCGGAAGACAATCTTATGGCCCAGATACAGCACGACGAACAGAATCGGACAGACATACGCGACGAAGAAATTCGAGACATCAAACGTGGGGATCCACGCCGTGAACCCTTGCGTGAAGATGATCAAGACGTTGAAGAAAAGTCCGTAGTAGGCCAGCCACGGCTGCCAGATGGCCTTGTAGGGCAGGGTATCCCGGGAGATATTGCGCGCGGCCAACACGCGCATAAACGCAATGTGGCAGGCGTTGATGGACGCCCAGCAGATGAACCCGGCCACGCCGGAGATGTTGACCAGCCAGTTGAAGACCTTGCCGCCGGACTCGGAGAGGTTGAGGAAGCCGAGCAGCCCGAAAGCGGCGGTGAAGGCCACGCTGATGTAGGGGACGCCGCGCTGCGTGACCTTGGCGAACCATTGCGGGGCGAAGCCCTCGCGCGCGAGACCGAGGAGCACGCGGCTGCCGCTGTAGACGTTGGAGTTGGCGGCGGACAGGACGACGGTTAGAAGGACGGCGTTGATCAGGCCGGGGAGGACCTGGACGCCGGCGAGGTTGGCGGCGATGACCATGGGGGAGGCAGAGGCGTTGGAGGTGTCAGTGACCAGGTTGGGGTTGTCGTAGGGGACCAGCAGACCGATGAAGAAGATCGTCAGGACGAAGAAGATGAGAATGCGGAAAAAGGTCTTGCGGATGGCGGAGGGGACTGTCTTCTCGGGGTTCTCGGTCTCTCCGGCGGCGACACCAACAAGCTCAGTGCCTTGGTAGGAGAAGCCGGCTTGGATCAGGACGGCCCAGAATCCCACGAATTTGGCGGTATTCACATTCGATTCGATGAGGTATGGTGCAAAGGCGCCGGGGTCCTTCCAGGTGTGAAATCCCAGGTAGCCCTGCTTGCCTACCCCAGCATCGATGCAGATGGCGAAGATCATGAAACCAAGAACAGTAAGCACCTTGATGGCCGAGAACCAGAACTCGAGCTCTCCGTAGAAGCCGACAGGGAGGAAATTGATAAGTGTGATGAACACCCAGAACACCCCGATGAAGATGGCAATCGACAAGTCCTCTCTCCAGTATTGGATAATCATCCCGGAGGCCGTCAATTCCACCGCGAATGTCGAAGCCCAGTTGAACCAGTAGACCCATCCCATGGCAAATCCCAGACTGGGATCGACCAGTCGTGTGGTATACGAAGTGAAGGCGCCCGCGGTGGGGATGTACGTCGCGACTTCTCCCAGCGAAGTCATCACCGAATACACGATCGTCCCGACAAAGATGTAGGCGATCAGAGCCCCGACAGGACCAGCATGCGCAATGGCTGTTCCACTGCTGATAAACAGACCGGTTCCAATTGTTCCTCCTGATGGCCATTAGACTTTTTTTTCTCCGTAAAGTACCAGATACTGACCGATGGCAATCATCTGCAAATGTCTATCCTTCAACTGCCGCTTCAGGTCGGGCGTCTCCGATTCCTGTACCTCCTCATTGCTCTCCTCATCGCTGTGATGGTGGTCGCCTCGCAGCGAGTTTACCTTATTCGAGCGCAAACGGACCTTGTCTGCTAATCTCCGACGCTTTTCAGCGCTGGATACCTCCAGACCCTTGGCATCCGAGGTCATATTGTCTTGAACAGCCATGATGCCAGACAGGTACGCAGGTGCAGTTAGACAGCTGTCGAGGCCTCAGTGAGAAGATCAGCTCCGATGGCGAATGAAAATTTCTGCCCCTCAGTTGTGTCATTTTTTCTGGACCGTGCCTAGCCAGTGGAGATACAACTGTCAGAAATTGACGGGTCCATCCACCGGAAGAGGCAAACTATTATGTAAAAGAGACTCGAGCCAGTGCTACAAAAGGGAAGACCACACGATGTGGTCTGAGTGACAGTGGATCTGTTCAACCTAACTCTAGTGAACACGAGTGCTTGACTTGTCCAAGCCCTACAGATTCATGTCTAGATGGATATCATGATAGGAATAGAGAGGGGAGGTCCTTGGATAGAATATAGCGACCGTTTCAGTAGGTGGATCATCAAGCCTTGCCAAGGAACATTCTACAGCACTGTCTGATCTTCATATAAGGAATCAAGTCAAGGAAAAAGATATGTTATGCACTCTCGATCAGTCCCAGGCAACAATATTATTGTACAGCGTCTTCCGTCTAGATTGTGGTAGACGCGCCTCCGACTTTTTGCAGAGTTTTTCCTCGTTCTGTATATATTTTGAATGATATGACACAATATTTGCCACTCAGTCCCGACCAGGACTGGTAGCTCAGTGGTAGAGCGTGAGATTGCAAATCTTAAGGTCGCGTGTTCGATCCACGCTTAGTCCTGTGTTTTTATTTTTCATTTTTCCTCCGCTTCCTTCCAAATCATTTGCAGAATCACGTCTCTTCATTTTGCCAAAAGAAATGAAGTAATCTGCTCAGAATGCGAATTCTTTTATATACGTACCTTACAGCTCCGACTACAAACAGTCGCAACATAAATATAACCATTTAAATGGATGACCTACGATACCTGCCAGGACATATATTGGAATTGATCAACGGGCAATTACCAAGTCTCCTTGATAAAGTCAGCACACCTCTCCCCAATGCCATATGCAGGCATCTGGGTATGTCCTCCATGTAGCGTAGGCATGACACTGCAATCCGCCACTCGAAGACCAGCCACTCCCTTCACCCGCAGCTTGTTATCCAGCACTGCCATCGGATTGTCATCTTTGCCCATTGCACATGTTCCAGACGCGTGGTAGCCTATCCCGTCAGTTAGATATAGGACAGCATGTTGCGAGTACGGATGGCTTACAAGTCGTCGCATGCTCCTTGACATACGGAATCCACTCCTCCCTCGTCTTGTACGTATGGTGCTTGAGATTCGGCGGCCACGACCCCTTGACGATATCCTTCGTTCCCGCACCGTTCATCACAATCTCATTGCCGAACCGACACGCCTCGGTCAACACGAGCATATCCAATGGGTCAGAGAGATAGTTGCAGTCGACGACCGGGTTCTCCTTTGGATCCTTGGACTTGAGCGTCACGGTACCGCGGGACTTGGGCGCGAAGAGCTCGGCAATCATGGAAAAGGCGTGCTTGTGGTCGATGGGGAACTGGTTGTACTGCTTGGGACCGCCGTAGCACTCCGTCGTGAAGAACTCGATGTTGGGTTGCTTAGGGGTGAGGCCCATGGGGTCGCGGCCGGGTTGGCGGGGGGCATCGCGCCAGAGGGGCTCGTCCTTGAGACGGTCGTCGATGCGGGCGAATGCGAAGGAGCCGAAGGGGAAGGTGGAGAGGAAGCCGGACTTGTGTTCTTTCCACTGCTGGTAGGTTTTGGCGAGGTTGTTGTCGTGGTAGACGTGGAAGTCGGTCGTGAGGCCTTCTTTTTCGGTTTCGTAGAACATGAAGACGATCTGCGATGTGAGTATCGTGTGGATGTGGTCGGAGGGATGGTCTTACCAAATGGTCCATGAGGTTCTTGCCTACGCCGGGGAGGTCAACTTGGCAAGGGATGCCGTGCTGCTCCAATTCCTCGCGAGCGCCGATTCCTGAGCGCATGAGGATGGCGGGACTGCAGTATGCTCCTCCAGAGACGATGATTTCCTTTCGCGCGTGGAATGTGCGCGGTGTCCCATCCGCCAGCTGGGTGATGACGCTGGTGGCTCGGAGTCCATCCGGACCCTGTTCGAGCACGACACGGTCGACGGTGGTGTCGGTCTGGATCGTCACATTATTGCGGTGGTATTCCTTGGTGATGTAGTCCGCCGCAGTGGACCGAATGCCCTTGTAGACCGTTCGAGGCACGTGGCCGCATCCATGGGGTATGTCGCCCGAGCTGAACATGTCGTGGTGTAGAGGCAAACCCTGTGACACGAAGGAATCCAAGAGGAGATTGGCAATAGGGGCAAGGTCATGAGGTTCGGTGTGCAGAGGGCCGGAATACCCGTGGCTCTTCTGGTCCGCTTGGAACCAGGGCTTGGTGTGGAAGGTTTCCGCCTATACAGTCAGTATCTCTCAATCTGCTTTCTTATGATGAAAAATACCTACCTTTCTCATGGCAGCAAAGAACTCCTCGCCACTCCAACCTTCCAGTTCCCAGTCATCATAGTCCTGTTTGGCACCTCGTATGCACAGTGTACCATTGCATCCGCTAGAACCGCCGAGAAACCGACCACGACTGAGTTTCACCTGGCGATTGTCAACCCCGGGCATTGGTTTTGTGATTATGTTCCAGTCGGTCTCTGAGTCGAAGTTGTTCGACCATCTATAAGGAGTTAGCCACGAGGCAAAGGTTCAACTCAGGTAATCACCTACCCTCCGGCCATGTGTACATTTTCCAGGTCCCGATTGTGCTGTCCGGCTTCGATGACGAGGATTTTGGTATCAGGATTCTCAGCAAGCCGACCTGCGACTACACAACCAGAGGTTCCTCCACTGCGAATGGTGAGTTAGGGCCCGCGAGTGGTATACTTGCTAATATACTCACCCACAGATAATGTAGTCATATACATCTGGTGTATTCCCAATCGAACCCATGATGCCGTCTGTGTGTCTTTGGTGTTTGATGACCGAATTTGAGTAGAGCGTCAAGGTCAGGCTGGAGTATCATCCTGACGACAATTCCCCCTTATTATGGGCAATTGGGACATGTGCATGAGGGGCAAGGCGAAGCTAAGGTCTCTCGTGTCACCAAGCCGTTCGCTTATGCCACTCCTGAAGAGACCCAGGAGAGCCGGCCTGTCGACCATGATCAGAGCGGGAAAGTCGCAGCGTGTACGAGCGGGGCCGGCTGTGAAGGAAGTCGCGCGTTGACGAAAATGGTCCTGCTCATTCGGAAAATAATAATCCGTGTTCTGGCCGTTGTGACGGCCGAACTCTATTGGCCTGGTGGAAGAAATGATCGTTTATCATGGTCTCTGATTGGATCTTTCTTGGGAAGCCCTGAGGCATCGACGATCGTCTCCTCATGAATGCCTCAATAGCCAGAGGGATGGGGGCCAGAACTGGTCTGGCAACCATACAGCATTTTGGGAGAAAGCGAAATTGGTCTCCAGATAGTCTGTATCAACTTCTGCATCATCCCTGCTGGCTTCTTCTTGGCGGGAAGAATCGGCGATCATTCCCACGAGCAGACAGACAGCCTGTGACACGTTCTCTTCCATGGAGTTCGGTAATCTTCACAGGTTATATCATCGACCCCGGACGGAGTAGAAAAGGGATATATTGTATCTAGTAAATCGGACATCTGCAGAACACAACGTCCATGAATCATGCAGTCCTCAGAGCCAAATGTGCTCCCACATATGACAGGTCTCCTCCATAAGGAGTACGCCCGTCCTCAAACGTCAACGGGCGGGACTAATATTGACTTGGCTGGAAAATCACCCCAGAAAAATAGTGGATCAGGACCGCCCTGGCCAAAGACAGGAAGTTCCCCGAGAGAGTTCTGGGCGTAGTGTTGCTGCTCTTTTACTGGTTCTGGTAAGCCGTCGTGCCTTGGTGGCTTGAACACGAAAATAATAATGGCCCTAAGTCTCCCGTTGGCCTCCACTTTCCGAGCTCCGAAGTGTCAATTTAGTCGATGCAATTTGTTCGCGCTTCGTAGCGCAGACGCCTAACCTGTTACGAGTTAGGGCACGGGCTGGCCTTTTTCCCGTTTCTCTCACCTCATACATGCCTATTTCCGTACTGAGACTCTGGATACCCATTTACGACGACTCGATAGGGAAACCCATGCCGCACGGGTGCAAGCCAATCAACTTTAAACCCGAGGATGGGACGTTACTCCAACTTACGGACCTTTGAGTCTAGTCTCGGCTCGCTCCTTAGTTCCTTGTACTATTAACGTGAAGATAGTAAGGATGCGGTGTGTTTACTTACTCGAGAGAAGGAAATTGCCTGCTTTCAAAACGACAGATTGCTCGACTTATATCTGCATGTGAGCTGGATAAAAAGCAAATTCTCCCATCGTGCAGACTGCCGTAAAAGCTTAAAAGCAGATATGCCGTGATTAAAAGCAGCCAGCGCCACCATGGCTGGAATAGTTACGTTCTCGTATTTCTCATTGTAAACTCTAATACAGCTTTCTATGAGTAATAGCCCTAGTCAGGGGTGTGTTAGACTTTCAACGATCGTCGTCAACCAAAGGACTGGGCAACAGTCTAGAGAATAATGGGAAGCAAGCTTCAATGGTCCATGTCGCACTTTATGGGACCATCGACCAGGGTCCAGGAAAGTCTTCCCAGGAATCAAAAGGCACATTGTCTCATGCCGAGACCGGCGTATTGGCGTCGTCCAGACACCTTATTGTTATGTAGATCATCCAACAAGTCTCTTTGTCTGGTTCGATTTTCCACTATTACGAAAGCTACCATAATTCTATCCATCCTTACCAGGGAACGAGAGCCCACAGCTCTGGTCCAGAATATGCAAACTTAGATTGGCATTCCCTGAACCCAAAATCTTGTCGCTGGGTTTCCCCTGACAGGCACCTCCATGCACTGGTAAAGACAAAGCTTGAAGGTATTTTACCTGACACAGATCCACTAACATCCATGGCAGTGCGCCGGTCAACTTCCAAGTGCATGAGTAGCAAGCGCCATCCGGGACACGTTACGCTGGTTAATTTAAGATATAGCATCTGACATCGTACGATCACTTGCGTCCCACGTCCTGTTCCTGTTCATTTAGCCAGTCTCCCAAGATGCCACAGGCTACCCCGTTTCAGAAGGAGGCCTGGACGGAATACGGAATTGGGGTTCTCATCATCCTTGGTCGAATATTTGCACGATGGAAGGTGGTTGGAGTGAAGAACTGGCAGGGTGATGATTACTTTGCCATCATCGCAATGCTCTTTTGGACCGTGGGTTCTCCCGCGTCTTCGCCAGAATGACACTGTATCCACTGACAGAGATATGCAGGCCGAACTCACCATGTTGGAACTTATCGGTGAGTAATCTCGACCGATCACGACGGATAATCGGCTGACTGGACAGGCCAACATGGTGCCAACATCGGTCTCACTGATGCTCAGCGAGCGGCCTTGACCCCGGAGCAGGTCAAGAGTCTTGTCATCGGCTCCAAATGTCTGCTCGCTGGATGGACCTGCTATGTGACACTCATCTGGTGTCTCAAGGCTTGCATGTTATTCTTCTACAACCGCTTGACGTACGTTTCCATTTACCCTCCAGACAAGGTGCTAACCATGGTAGACTGGGTCTCATGCAGCAGAAGCTTGTCAAGATCAACGCTGTGCTGTGCGTGTTTTCCTATGTCGCGGTCATCTTCACCATTTACTTCCACTGCCTCCCGATACAAAAGCATTGGCAGATATACCCGGATCCTGGAGGTAAGCATCATCGCTGAAACTCTGCATACAACGATGCGATTCTGACCCATTAGAACAATGCACTGTCGACCGAATAAATTACATCGTCCTCGCCGTAACCAACGTCTGGTAAGTTGCAGGCACGAAATCAACCAGCGAAGAGACTAACCAGCACAGTACGGATGCCGTCCTGGTCTCGATCCCCGTTCCCCTGCTCGCCAAAGTCCGATTAGCATTGCGCCGGTACGCACATCATTTCCAACCTGCACACGCGAGCACTAACAAAAACAGAAAACTCGTCATCGGCGTCCTCCTCTGCGGCGGTGTCTTCGTCATGTGCGCCGCCCTCCTCCGCTGCATCCTCTCCCTGCAGAGCATCAACAGCATCAACACCAGCACCATCTGGGCCATCCGTGAAACCGTATGCCCCCTTCCCCCCAATCAACCGTTTCCTCGCTAACAGCTAACTACCAGTTCGTTGCAATCATCGCCGTCAACGCCCCCTGCATCAAACCCCTCTTCAGCTCCTCCGTCTGGCTCGGCTCCTCCAAAGACCCCTCCTCCAAGAACGCGCATCGCTACGGCGGAAGCGGAAGCTACTCCCTCTCCGTCTTCGGCAAATCCAAACCGGATCCCTTGGTTTCGCATACGAGTAAACTGGGCGACCACGCCAGCGACGAGTTCATCCTTCGCGAGCAGAGTCAGAGTGGGCCGACCTACGTTCATGATGTAAGTGGTGGTCATGGTCAGCACATGGATGAAGAGTCGGGCAAGTTCGCCGAGGGAGGGATACAGGTTACTACTATGTATGAGGTGAAAACGGGAAGGGCGTAGATTGAAAGAGAGATGGATTGTTTTTGGAGGGATGTATATTATTGATACCTACTGGCCTCGGCGGCTCATTTTCTTTGTATATCCACACACGATGATGTTTTTTAGAGATTTAGCATGCAGATGCGATTTTTTGTTCTTCACCATATGGTGTATGAGTATGATTAGACTGTCTGTTCCCACATGGTATATATGCAAGGCCGAGGTAACAGGGACTTTCACATGGCAACCCGTCTGCAAAAATTGCACCGACAGCTAATCACAGTGCGACGGGGGAAACCAGAGATTTAGATAAAAATAAAATGAAACATAAAGAAAGACAAAGTTTCCAGTAGCGCTGCAGAATACGAAGGGATAGTGGTAAAGATATGAAAAAAGAAGGGCTAAGCGTGGATCGAACACGCGACCTTAAGATTTGCAATCTCACGCTCTACCACTGAGCTACCAGCCCTATTGGTTGACTGAACTCTATTTACTTAGTTTCTTATACTAATACTTAACATTGATCAGTAGGTGAAGCAGTTGCTACTATGTCAATCGCCTCAAGGCATACAGTACAAGCCTTGTGTCAGTGAAATGCAACTGGGCTCAGCCCTTGACACTTTAGTCTATTGATGTTGCAACGAGGCATTATTCGTCTTCGCCAGCCACCTGTACTATGATGCTTGATCCAACATTCGCTTTGAGGCGTCGACTGGGGATGAGGAGTTAGCTCTCAACCCCCACTCTAGATTGCATAAGAATATTTTATGGGAGGCAGGAAATTTGGGGTATATTATCGGATATAGCAAACAAATCAGTAATAGCTGTGGCTCACAAGACAGCCGACGGGAAGATTGGCGTACCTCAGCTTGACTGTATATGGAGACACCATGTGGTAAACCTCCTATAGACACGCTCCCTCTACTATAAGCCGTAGGACCAGAAGTCACAGTTCTATGACTATCTGACACATGCCGCAGCATATATTGACCGACTCTTCAATGCCCCTGAACTACATTTATAAACCTACCGATGTCTGCTCATCAAAACCAGAGAATGCACACAAACTGCATAGCGTATACTCTAGAGCACTCAAACCACCGACTCTCCACTCAGATACAACTCCAACAACCGCCGACTCTCCTCCAACACGTCACACCGAAAATTATGCTCCATAAACTCCGGCGGTGACGAAGGGACCTTGGCCCCCTCCGGCATATACTGCTGCGCGCGTTCCTTGACCTTCCACCCCTGGTCCTGCCCGGCATTGGAGAATATTGTTATTACAGACGCACGGTGGACACGCACCTTCTCAAACAGCGCTAGACGATCCCGGATGTCGTCTTGTGTCGGGTGATCCGGCATGCGCGCGAAGATCTCACCCAGGGCACCGCCGTCCTCGATTGCCTGGGCGCCGCCTTGGCCTTGGTCTGGAGAGGTTAGCTACTGCAGATTGCAATGGGGAATGACGTACGAGGGAGCATTGGGTGTGCAGCATCGCCTATCAGCACGAGGCGTCCGCGACTCCAGGTTGGGATGGGATCGCGGTAGAGGAGCGGCCACCGTTTGATGCTCGTTGCTTTTCTGTGCTTGGTTAGTGTGCGATTTTTGCTGATGTTGATAGGCTTACTTGATAATTCTTAGAAGCGTTGGATGAAAGTCCTGGTATTGAGCGAGAACGTCGCTGACATCGGCGGACAGGTTCCAGTCTATCCGACAGTCGGTACTTGAAGAATGAACTGGAAGATATGGATACTAACCTTCTTTTTGACCATCGCCGCGCTCATACAAATGTATGCCCACAAAATTCTCAACTGTGTTACTGGTCCTCATGAGTGATGCTCCACCATGTAATGATTGAGGGCCTTACTCGGCACACGAATACCAGATTAGTCGCCGTACACCTTCCGCAACGTATATCCTCATCAAACCATCCTCCAAAAGGTGCGCCGTCTCAGAATCTTGCTTGATATCCTCCGTCGGAATCAGAAACCGAAACGCAGCGGAACCCGTGGCGACAGCCGGCGTCGCATGGCCGATGACCTGGTGAATAGCGGTAGTATGTACACCATCTGCAGCGACAACAAGGTCCGCTCGATGAATTGACCCATCGGCCAAAGTAATCGACCCATTCTCAGCGTCGAAGCCAACTACCTCAGACCGCAAGATGATCTCCACGGGGAATCCCGGCGCGTCCGATGTCGTCGCCAGGCGCCGCAGTTCGGAGTGCAAGTCGACCCGATGAGCCAGATACCAGGGTGCACCATACGTCTTAACAAAGTGGGAGCAGTCCACCCCGACGTTGGATGTGAGCGATGTTCCTGGTACCACCATTGTTCGAAGACCCTTCACAAAGCGAGCTCTCTTAGGGTCGAAACCCCAATGTGAGAGAATCCGGGAAGCGTTCGGCTGGACATGGATTGCTGCACCGACTTCGCGGAGGAACGAGGAGCGTTCGAAAATCTGGCATGCTTAGTTTCTCTCAACTCAACCTGTTCTAACAGAGACTTACCTGCACCTTGTGGCCGGCACGACGGAGTCCAATCGCAGCGGCCAGTCCGGCGATCCCACCGCCAACTATAATGACCTTCATCTGTGACTATCAGGCTCTCAGATATGATTGATAACTACGTATAATGTTAAGTATCTGACGGACTGTTCAGTTTTCGGTTTGCACAAATGGCGGGGTGAGGTCGATGAACCACCTCCAGTTCACCGACTCAACAAGGGGGAGACGCGTATTTCATGCATCGAGCCCTTGCCTGACAGCGAATCAAGATGGGATCATCCCTGTATATGCATCAAAGTGGAGGTACTAATACTTTGCTTACTTGAACGGTGCTGATAGAAGTGAAGCTACGTTGATGAATCGAGATATGCCTTCCATTGGACTATAACAGCGGGACATACAACAGGCGAACGAAATGGACGAGCTCGCGCGCCAACGACAACAGCCAGTCAAAGCAAAAAGGATTATAGCCCAAGAAAAAACAAACTACTCTTCGTCCGTAAGCAAATCCACCAACGCCTGGTTACCATACCGCCGCGCTAGACTGGCCGCAGTGGCACCCGCATCATTTCCCAGCGCACGATCCGCACCACGCGAGAGAAGAAAGACAACAATTTCTGGCAAACGATTGCAAGCCGCAGCCTTCATGAGAGGCGTCGTACCATCAACTGTCCTCTCATTTATAGTCCCCGGCGATCGAACAGCAATCCACACCAGAAACTCCAGATCGGTGGCACACTCCGCCGCCGCATGCCAGGCCGTCTCGCCCGAAGCGCCATGAACAAACGAAGCCAGATCGACTCCATCGGCCATTAAAAGCTCCGCCAGACTGGCATCGCAGAATTTGCAAAGCGCGTACATGGCGTCGTCAGACAATCTGCGCTCTTTGCTGGGGAGGTGTCGAACGCGGTCCCACAAACGCGCGAAGATCGATGCATCCCAGGTCGCGGCGAGAGAGAGGAACGTGCCGTCTTCGCAGTCATTGGTAGCGCCTATGCGTCCGCAAAGATCCTCGGGAGAGGAAGTGTCAATGAGGTACCGCGAGATGCGCTCGGCTTTGGAGGCCAGAGCCAGGCCGAGGAGCTTCCAGCCGCTGCGGCTGTAGTGCTGGAGGCTGAGACCGGCGCCGACGAGGCTCTTTAGCGTTTTGATACGGTCGTACCTGATAATGTCAGCGATGGGGTCCGATGAGTGGTCAGTCAGCTTTTTGAAGGCTCTGGCGCTTGGGACGGTGTAGATGTTGTTGTCAATGAAGCGTTTCTGCACGATTTCTCTGGCACGGGGTGCGAGCTCACCGTCTGACTCGATGATCTTCCATAGTTCTGGGGTCTCGAGAAACTTCAGACTGGCAGGAGAGATTTTGTACAGCTCTGGTGCCATTTTTCAGATTCTAAACAGCGATCACAGAACAGACTTGGAGGGAGATTGAATTGCATGGGTAGATTCAAGTTCTGACACCTTGACAGATATGAAGATTTATAGGCCTCTCCATCCGTTGTCTTAGACATCGCATCATCTGTCTTGAGTGTCATTGTCTCTGAGCATGAGACAGCTGCGGCATTGCGGCGGCACCGGCAATGTGCGACAATCATGAAGTATAGGGAATACAATACATTGTTTCACCCTCCTTTGTCTCCCGACACATGGAGAAACAACCATGCCTTGTACTCCGAGACTAGAGACTCGGAGAGAGCCATATGCAAATTCAGTCTATTGATTAACAGAAGTTTCTGCCTGCACCTCCTTCCTCATAAACGCCTCCCACAGCTTCACCACCTCCCCATCTAGCGTCCTCTGCTCATAGAGCGGCTCCTCCTTCCAGCTCACATACCCAAGACTCTCATACCACTCCTGAATACTAAACGCCGGCGGCGGCATGCCCAGTCTCTCCCAGAGACCCCGCCACTCGGGCCCCTCATCGTACAGGTACCGTTTACTCTGCGCATTAAGCGTAATGAATCGGCAGCGCGGGCTACCATACGGCTCCACAACGGCCATTTCCTCAATCAAGCGCATCGCATGCCGTCCCAGCCCGTAGGAGCGGTATTCAGGCAGGATGAAGAATGAGCTGATGGTCAGCACGGACTTGTCTGCGCGCGCGAGGTCGGGGTCAGGCGGGTCGCAGTATGCGTCGAGGGCGATGTGGCCTGCGCGAATGCGAATGCCTTTGTTATCACTAGTGCTGTGATCGGGGATGGTGATCCAGAAGAGGGCTTTGAGGTTTTCTTGTTGTTTTTGTTTCCAAGTCTGGAGGGTCTGCGGGTCGGAGAACCAGCCGCAGATTGTACGTTGCTTTTGGAGCTCAGCGAATTGATCCGTGTTGTGTAGATTGATGGGCTCGAGGAGGCATTTGGCAGTGAGAGATGAAGATTTCATTATTGTGATGCAGTATAGATCAAAGTTAGAAGGATCCTGCGTCTTTGTATTTGTGATTTGCATATGTAATATCCATCCGCTCATGAGTCATGCCATGCCGGCTTGAGTCGGGAGTCTTGGAGTGGGATAATTGTCACCGCAATGGGAGTAGACCCTTTGAATCATGTGAGGGTAGGGGGTTGGCTAGTGGCCGCCCCAATAATGAGGCATTGTAAATTACCATTTTGGCTGACAGAAAGGTTCTAAAAATAAGGACACACAAGGGTGGATCCCCCGCAGATCCAGCAATCTAGCTTGATCAACGTCCAGTCCTTTTCTTCCTTTCCCCAGTAGCCTTCGTCTTTTATCAGAGATTGTTGTTCGGCGGTCATCAGATCAGCAGGAGCTATTCCAGTAAGCTAATTTCTTCTTGACTTGGCTTATTGCACAAATATCACACTACAAGGTCTCATCTAATTGCGATGCTTTCAGAACCGCCTTACGTAGGTGGACAACTGCCTGGCAGAAAACGCCAGAGTCCAATCTCGAGCCCTTTGACCCCAATGGCCCTTTGACCTTTACGTCAGGTGCAATGCTGAGTTTTGCTTATATCCGCAACTGCTTCTTGAGTGGTGATGAACGGGTCCGAGAGTCTCACTCATGGGATCCTGTCAGCATCGCGGATCGTCTTCGTGCAATGCCAGCTGGGAAACGCAGTGGAGCCAACAACTCGCCGCTCAACACGCCATCCACACAATGGGCATATTAGTTAAACTCGACATTGAGTACGTTAAACGTAACCAGGCTTTGATTCTGAACGTTGAGGCTGCGTGATGCGGTCTAGAATGTGCCGTTTTCCTTGATAAATGGCTGCGGAACTCAAAGGAACCGTCAATAATCGTCCTCTCGCGTTGCATTCAAAAGATTAAAGCTCACTTTTGGGGTGTAGAATCAGAGCATCACCTGGTACATTGGATTAATGAAGTTGTGAAAGAAGGCTTCGCTTCCACTCCCAGTACCAATGTTCAAGCTAATATGAGCGATTTGGATAGCGTGGCTGATTGTGTTCTTCAGATTTGGTCATACATCCTGCAGGGTAATTCCCCATGGACATTCATCAATACGGTAGGCGATGTGCTTATCGCCTATAAATTGAATGGTCAGTGACTATTGCTTCCATTCTATTATAGAGGGATTATACTGGACCTCAGTCCTCAACTAACAGAACGGAAAGCTGGAAGTTTCGAGCAAAGACCTACAATATAACAGAAGCAGTGGTCTGTGCCCTAGATTTACTATTTCATTCCTCCTTTCCTCTGTGGGGTAGATATCCATAAAAACCTCATTCAATTATGGATCAAACCCTAATTGATTGAAATAATACCATGATTGTTGCCAGTAAAAGGCTGTAGCCTAATTTGATTTCATATAAACTAGATTTCACTGCTAGTAGAAAATATAAATACTAATAGACTTAAAAAACCTACAGAAAGTTTTCTTTTTCTTTTTTTTTTTTTTTGTTTTCTCCCAATGGCTTGCCGTATCTAGCTAGATGCTTCGCTTGGATCTTGAATCTCGTATTCCGTCAGCCTTCAGACCTGGGTCTCTTTCCCTCGACACACATTTGGAGTTGGAAAAGATCGTAAACTTCCAGTCAAGGAGCAATTCGGAACTAAGAGACACCATCACCACCTGGAATAGGATGTCGCGGATCACTCCCCAGACCCATCAAACATATGACTACGAGCCCCTGCCCAACTCTACATCAATCCGACTCTTACGAGTTGATCACAAAGACCCCGACGGCCTCCTACATTGCACCATCAAAAACGTCGATCTGAAACATGGGCCTTTGTACCATGCCATGTCCTACACCTGGGCCAACCCGCACAGCGAACTCGCCCAGGTCCAGGAAACCAGGGACAGATATTCAGAGAATTATCAGCCAGAGCACAGAGAATGTATATCTGTCAACGGGAAGTTGTTATACATCACTCGAAATGCGTACGATGCGCTCATCTCCGTCCCCAGAGACGCGTGGGCGAAATGCTGCAACAGAGGTAATCGGAGGAAACTTCTCCGGACGTCGCTTCATTGGGCGTCTCTTGCCGGGAAGGAGGACCTGATTCAGCCGCTTCTGTGCTCTGGTGTGGACGTCAATGTGAGGGATGAATGGGGCGTGACGCCGTTGAGCTACGCGGCGCAGGTGGGAAGTCGCGAGGCGGTCGAGTTGTTGGTTTCTGCGGGTGCGGATACGTGCATTGCGGATGGTCGGGGGAATACTCCGCTTGATCATGCGAGGCAGGGTGGCTACGAGGAGATTATCCGGTACCTGGAAGAGGTCATGCAGAAGGGAGGAAGACTCGAGCCGCGAGTGGATTGGCCTGAAGGTCCAGAACGATGGTGCTGGATTGATCAGATTTGTATCAACCAGGGTGATATCGCGGAGAGGGGAGCGCAGGTTGCGATCATGGATCAGATATACAAGAACGCAGCTTTTACGCTTGTCTGGCTTGGGCCCGGGGATCCCTACAGCGATATGGCGATAAAGACCATCGAGAAGCTGGATACCGCGGCAGGAGACTTCATCCGAAGCAAGGAGATACAGCCATATAGAGAGCAACCTGAAGAGATCTACGCTGCTGCAAGGATCCCCTATGTTTCGATGGAAGAGTGGACTGCCCTCGCGGCCCTCTTTCAGCGTCCCTACTTCCGGCGCCTCTGGATCGTCCAGGAGAACATCCTCTCGGACATCATCATGGGCTACTGCGGGACTCGTGAGATCCCGTGGAAAGCATTCCACACCGTGGCACAGCAGATCTACTTTCGTCAAGAGCTGCTGGGTCGACCGACGTCAACTGCATTTATTGCACCGCATCGGCCAGTGGCAGCTCTTGAGAGCGAGATGGTATATCTCACTCAGTGGCGGGAGCGGTTGCAGAAGGGCGACAAGGCCACCGTTCCTCGAGAGCTGTCGCTGGAGAATCTCATCTTTGACACCTGGACCTTCAACGCGACCGACCCCAGGGACCAGATCTTTGGGCTTTATGGTCTGCTCCGTGAGGGTGGTACGGTCGATTGGCAGCCGGACTACTCTCTGTCCGTAGGAGAGGTCTTCGCCAGAGCAACTAAGGAGATCATCCAGAAGGCAGGCGAGTTGCGCATTCTTTCCGCCGTCCACGACGAGTCCCTTAGGAATATTGCCGACCTACCCTCCTGGGTTCCGGATTACAGCGCCAACTTCTGCAATATGATGTGCGCCAATCATCATGCAGCCGGAGATTCGCCCATGAGGTCCATCATGGGCAGCTCCTGGAACAAACTTCCTGTGGCCGGTGTTAAGTTTGACTCGGTTCTCGCGATAGGGAACACCACCAGCGGACCCGGGCAGATGTCCATGTTCTTTGACCCAAGGTGGCTGGAACTCGCTCTTCTGCTTCCTGTCCCTTACCACACCGGCCAAGCGAGAACAGAGGCGCTGTGGCGCACCCTCTGTGCGGACCAGGCCCTTGATGGCTCAATGCCAGCGCCTTCGTCCTACGGGGACCATTTTAAAACAATGGTGTGCAGTCTCGTCTGCGTCAAAGCTGCTGAAACAGCGCGCGCTGCAAAAGATGATCCAGATAATGTGGTTGATCTCCTCTCGGCTGCATACCATGTTCGGAAGACCTGGTCGAGTCCCCCTCTCTCGGAATTGTCCGTGGAGGAACTCACGCGTGCTGTCGCAGATCCGGAAACGAACCTCAGTCAGCCGGACCTCCAGACATTGACTCATTTGTTGTATAAGCTGCAGTTTCTTGGGATTGCTGAAGACCAGTGCTTTACACCCTCTATCGATGAGGTCGACAAAGCATACTACAGTTCCTCATGGCTGCCCTGGGATGAGAGCGAGACATTACAGCTTCCTGCAGACGGACAAGAGTTTTATAATGCGGTAAGACAGAAGCATGGTCGACGGAGGCTATTTGTCACTGCAAATCGGTACATGGGCTTGGGACCGGCCTCAATGGCGGTTGGGGATGAGG